GCCCCAGGGGTCGGTCCTGGGGCTGGTTTTGTTCAATATCTTCATAAATGATCTGGAGGATGGTGTGGATTGCACTCTCAGCAAATTTGCGGATGATACTAAACTGGGAGGAGTGGTAGATACGCTGGAGGGCAGGGATAGGATACAGAGGGACCTAGACAAATTGGAGGATTGGGCCAAAAGAAATCTGATGAGGTTCAATAAGGATAAGTGCAGGGTCCTGCACTTAGGACGGAAGAACCCAATGCACAGCTACAGACTAGGGACCGAATGGCTAGGCAGCTGTTCTGCGGAAAAGGATTTGGGGTGACAGTGGACGAGAAGCTGGATATGAGTCAGCAGTGTGCCCTTGTTGCCAAGAAGGCCAATGGCATTTTGGGATGTATAAGTAGGGGCATAGTGAGCAGATCGAGGGACGTGATCGTCCCCCTCTATTTGACATTGGTGAGGCCTCATCTGGAGTACTGTGTCCAGTTTTGTGCCCCACACTACAAGAAGGATGTGGATAAATTGGAGAGAGTCCAGCGAAGGGCAACAAAAATGATTAGGGGTCTGGAACACATGACTTATGAGGAGAGGCTGAGGGAACTGGGATTGTTTAGCCTGCAGAAGAGAAGAATGAGGGGGGATTTGATAGCTGCTTTCAACTACCTGAGAGGTGGTTCCAGAGAGGATGGTTCTAGACTATTCTCAGTGGTGGAAGAGGACAGGACAAGGAGTAATGGTCTCAAGTTGCAGTGCGGGAGGTTTAGGTTGGATATTAGGAAAAACTTTTTCACTAGGAGGGTGGTGAAACACTGGAATGCGTTGCCTAGGGAGGTGGTGGAATCTCCTTCCTTAGAAGTTTTTAAGGTCAGGCTTGACAAAGCCTTGGCTGGGATGATTTAATTGGGGATGAGTCCTGCTTTTGAGCAGGGGGTTGGACTAGAAGACCTCCTGAGGTCCCTTTCAACCCTGATATTCTATGATCAATACAACTATGCCAACATTGTCTCTGTATTGTAGACATATCCTTAGTCAAAGGACGCTTCTGTGACAGCAGGCACCCAGAGCCGGTCAGAAATCTGAGGAAATCAACCCAGAGCTTAGCAGCTACTGCAAATCGGAACATGAGAATAATGAAGGGGATTGCAAGCACTGGATTAAAAGCAAGGGAGAGGAACACCTGGACGGGGAGGGAGTTGAGTTTCATAGGATGACTTGGGAGGATTAAAATTTCTTCTAAATTAATACCAATTACCTTCTGTGCCACTAATAATCCCTGACATAACTTGGACAGATGGAAACTTTACCATCTTCGCTTGTTTTCACCCTTCTCCCTACTTAGATGGCCAGGTCGGACTGGGCCAGTGGGGTTCCCGTGCATCCTGTGCAGTGGTTGCCATCCCAATCACAGTCGCATCCCAGCACAACCCAGGAATTTGCTTACAAGGTGGGGAATGACCCTGTCCCCTTACCTTGGTAACCATGTGGTGTTACATATCATGCCCCTGCAATTGGCCGGTTGGCTGAAAGAGAGAATTGGGTGGGTTTAAACGTTGGAGGCTACCATATGTACAGCTCAGTTGTACGCTGAGGATGGGTGACTGCTGGGTCCATGTGTAGCCTGGGAGCCCCCACACTCCTGGGCCCAGTCACTCTCATCTCTCCAGGTCTCCATGAGAGTAGCTGTCTGCAAGGCCCAGGAGCTGGGCTCTGCATGCCGGGTTCACTCCCTGCCCCTTCTGATCTCTGGGGTCGCTCTCAGGCTGCTTCTGCGTCCCTCCTGAACTCCGGTGCAGACCCAGCAGTATTTGTCTCTCTTGCATACAAAAGCCTCTTCAGCTTAACACATTTAGAGGCTTTTTTTGTTTTTACATTTTTGGTGGCCAGAAAAGTAACCCGTCTGCTGCAAACACCTAATCACAGGGCGACTGACCAGGGTCCAGTGCACCTGGGACTTGTCAGCGGCCTCCCAGCTGGGCTTAAGAGAAGGCATCTGGGCCATATAAAGGAGAGCAACTGAAAGGGGCAGAAAAGAGCGGGAGCCATAAGGCAGGGAAGCTTGGGTGTCCTTGCTCCCCCAACACATGGCACACTCCCAAGGCAGTGAAGGGCATGGGAGCCAGACACCGTGAGGATCCGTCATTGCGTGCACTGTAAGTATGAGCTGTAGGACACAGTGCATGGATGTGAGTCACTGCCCAGAATTGGGAATCAGGCATTTGCCCCGGTGGGGGCAACTTGCTGTGTGGTCTCGGGGCCCTCTGCTCAGCTGGGACCAACCCCCACTCCACCCCACCCCCATTGCCATTTGCTGGCAGAGCCTGTCCAGCCCAACTGTCTCCCCTGGGTCCCCTGCCTCCCCCCTCCTCTCATATCCCCTGTGGCTCCTACTCTCCTGCCTTGTCCTCCATCCCCTGTTTGTGACCCTCTGCACCATCTCCCAGTGCCTTTTATGGAGCCCCCTCACCCCGGTGTATCTTCAGCAGTACTCCCCGCTCCAAACAGCCTGCTTGCTGACCCTTCCCTGTCTCCCTGTCTGATGCTTCCTGGGGGTACCCAGGGTTGTGATGTACGTCTCTGCCACCTGCCCTTAGCTGGGGGGAAGTCTTGTCTGGGCACATCAGGGCTCAGCTCCCCGACTCACCAGCCATGGCAACACATGAGCTCCACTCTGGACCTATGCAGGCCAGGTGCCCTCTACAGGATGGCAATAGGCACCCTCCAACCACCAAGCCCTCCAAGCATCCAGCCCCTGTGCTGCTGGAAACTCGATGTACAGTATCATGGCTTCACTGCGGCCCTTAGCCATGTCTACCATTTATGTGATGATACACAGAGATTCAAGTGATGGTAAGTAGAAGCACTAGGGGCAAATGATTACACACAATTCCTTGAATATTAGCGGTACATACATTTCACAATGATTGATGACCAGTGGGCTACAGGCTCTTGGTAGAGCTCTGGATTGGGGAGGTGGAATCCCCATCATCGGAGGGTTTTGAGATCAGGCTGGACAAGCTAGCGATACCTCCTTTGTAAACCATGTTGTGATTCACTGCTGAAAAGTACGATCAGGAGCTGGGTTTTATTACTGTGTAGCACTTTGGGTGTTGTGTAAGTCCTACAGCTAGATAAGAGGCATCCTTCTAAACCTGGTAATTGACACAGTTCAGATTCCCTCAGGCAAGTAAGTGGACTTAGGAGTTTATTCCAAACTGGGGAGTGGATACTGAGCACAATAAAATCAACTTACTCTAAATTTCAGACTGGTAGCTGTGTTAGTCTGAATCGGCAGAAAGAATGAGGAGTACTTGTGGCACCTTAGTTTGCTAGTCTCTAAGGTGCCACAAGTACTCCTCGTTCTTTTTACTCTAAATTGTTTCTGTTGATTGGTTGATTTTATTATTTACACCGTCCACAGTCATAAGGGTTTGCAATCTCAGGTGCATTCCTAGGTGAATTAGATTGTAGAGCAAACCTGCAAACAGGCACTGCCCTTTCTAACCCTATTGTGGAGTTTGCTGCATCTGAAAACAGGAATTAACCTCAAGATGAAAGCTTAGTGTAGATTTTTCTCCGAGGGTTTTCAGAAGACAAGTTGCATTTCTCCCCGATTCCATTAGGTGGCCGTATTAGACCGTATACACACAAGGTAGGTGAGGAAATATTTCTTTACTGGACCAATGTCTGTTGCTGAAAGAGACGAACTTTCAAGCTACATGGTCATCTTGATCTCACCCACCTTGGCTCTCTAATATCCCGGAACCAACTGGCTAGAACAACACTGCAAACAATGTGTATATATACATACATCCCTTTTCCAAATAGCAGCCGTAGTCCATGTAACACTTCGTACCAAATCAGTGACATTTTAAAGGTGCATTTGATAACCTACAAGCCCTCATTTAACCCAGCGCCTGTAAATGACTAACTGTTCGACAAAACGCGGTCAACTCAGTTGCATCCTGAGAAATCAAGCCTCGTTAGAACTGGCAGCTGTTTTGAACAACTGCAGCAAATATCCCAACACTTAAATCTCTGTATATCCTTTCCCCTGAATCTATCTTTAGGTTTAGGTTAAATATTAGGAAAAACTATTTCAGTAGGAGGGTGGTGAAACACTGGAATGGGTTCCCTAGGGAGGTGGTGGAATCTCCTTCCTTAGAAGTTTTTAAGGTCAGCCTTGACAAAGCCCTGGCTGGGATGATTTAGTTGGGGATTGGTCCTGCTTTGAGCAGGGGGTTGGACTGGATGACCTCCTGAGGTCCCTTCCAACCCTGATATTCTATGATTCTATGATAATCAAACTGTCTTCTTGCCTTATTCTGTGTGGGCCTACGTTTTTCTAGTGATTTGGGGGCATGTCGTTTTTCAGAAGCCAAATGTGTGATACCTTGAAAGGGGGCTGATTCTCAAACAGTGAGCAGCATCCATGCTTGGAAAACGGGGGCCCTTTCAGGTGCCCAAATCAATGAATCACTTCTGGAAATATAGACCAGAGGTATTTTACTTGTATTTACTACCCAAAAAAACACAGATGAACTGAATGCTGCAGCCGTGTACCACGTGTACTGCTGAGTTACTCTCTACAAACCCAGCTGCAGCCTCGGCAATAGCAGGACAAGTTTCCCAACGGTCTCTAGCTCTTCCCTCTTCTCACGTGAAATCAGCTGAAGTATGTAAAAGCCCCAGTGGGAAAATAAAGCAATTCTAACTCCCGTTAAAGGAGACAAACCTAAACTGCTGAATGAAGGCCCAACGCTGAAGGGTTTTTTGAGAATTCAATGCTAGGTTCACTCTTGCTCCCAGTGAAGTCAATGGGAGGAGAGCGGGGGCAGCCGCCTGCCTGTTTTGGAAAAAAATCTCACCCCTAGAATGCAAACTGTTCAGCGCTTCTAAGCAAGTCTGTGCAGGCAGGGTCATGAGCGATGATGCATTTCCCTGTAAACTACGCCCTGGGGTGAAGAATCCCTTCGCTTGACGCGCCTCAAACGGACCGTACCTCTGCCAACGCCATGATTGCTTCTCGGTGCTTTGCTAGTTTGACGCTGTGCAGCCTGGTCATTGCCCAAAGTGGCGGCTCAGGTAGGCTGATTTTTTGCTCCTTTTTCCCTTGGTTTGATATCTGAGAAGTGCAGCGAGGAGTGACTGCAAATGCTGTTTCCTCACAGCAGAGAGGCTGCCGTGTTCACAAAGGAACCAAGCCAGGTCCTGTCGGGATTGCTTAGTTAGCTCTCATAATGGCTCCTGTGCAAGCAGGGAAGTAGTCTGCCAAAGTTACGGTGCGTGAGTGCAATCCGGCCTTGGTGTAAATGCGGAGTAGCCTCTGCAGCCCATGATGTAAGACTAGTGTGAAAGTAGCCCAAGAGGAGAATTGAGCTCGACATTCCTAACGGTTCATGAGACCGACTTCTGAGGCCAGTCCTAGAGATTTTCAGTGAACCCGTTGCAGATAATAAAAAAAGCACCTGATCTGAAACATAGTGGGCCTGACCGGGAGCTTGTGAAACCTGGTGTAGCCCTAGTGAAGTCACCAGCTGAGGTCCTGCCTCCTGGCATTCCATGTTAACCACCGAGCTTTCCACTCACTTCTGGTAGCTTGATCCTGGTGTGACTTGGGTGGGAGTTGCTGGTGTTAATGCTTAATTCCCACTGGTTTCAACAGGAGTTAGGGGCCTAAATACCTTTTGGGGATCTAAGCCTTAGGATCAGACCTCTCCGGAGGTGAAAGGAAACGGAGCACCTTTGATCTGAGAATCCGTAAGAGCCAATAAACAGCTGGTTTCCCTACAAGACGATTGTCACAGAGCCCTTTTTCACCAGCTGGGCTGAAGGAGAGAGCAGTAAATATTTCAGCAGTAAAAATAGTAATTAGTAGCAAATGTTATGGAGGGAAGAATAATAAAGAGGCGACAACCAAGTTAACTTCTTGTAGGCATGCTGGAAACCTGGACCACTTGGTCCAGACTATTCACCTAAGCTCCTGACCGGATAAGTAGGGACGGAACCCACAGTCAGGGCCCTGAGTGTTAAGACTGAACTGGCATTCTCCATTGTCTGGCACCCTGTGCTGTCATTCGCACCAGTGCAAAGTGCTTGTAAAATGTTACACGGTGAATGGCTGCATTGGTTTACCGCCAATTGGTTTTTAAATTAGCTCAACCCCCGTGTGGATGCTCTAATTTCAGTTTGCTTTACACCCATACCCAACATAAGCCCATACAGAGCTTTGCACTGGCTTCGGTAAATCAGTTTCAAATCACACCTCTACTTAAGCCCATGTAACTTGCTCGTGTAGGCAAGGCCAGGACAGTAGTGTTATACACCCATTCTGCGCTGCAGGGGACCAGCCCCTGTGTCCATCTGAAGTCTGCATCCTCCTCCACATTCCTGGAAAGAAGTGGTTCCTGCTTCCCACTCTGGGGAGCAGAGCCGCCTCTGGCAGCTCCGAAACAAGCAGCATAGGGGTGAAGGGAGGAAGGATGGTGAGGTGGTTTATGACTCAGGAGACCTGATTCAATTCCCTGCTTCGGCACAAACTCTCTGTGACCTTGGGCAAGTCCAAGGGATTTAGGTGCCTAACTTCGACTGATTTCAATGGGACTTAGATGCCTAAATCCCTTTGAGAATCTAGGCCTTGGTCTGTCGGTGCCTCAGTTTCCCCATTGGTAACCGGGGACAATAGCATTTCCCTAGCCCACAGAGGAGTTGTGAGGATAAATACATTAAAGATGGTGAGGTGCTCAGCCACTACAGCCATGGAGGCCATGTCAGGACCGTAGCTGGCTAGAGACTCTCTCCCACTCCCAGCCTGTCTAGGCCCCTGCATGGAGCAGGCAGGGTGGGGCTTCTGTGCCTGAGGGGGTCTGATAACTCCAAACAGCTCTTTTCAACAACGGCAAAAATCAGTCCCATTTTTAACACTAGCTCCGGGTTTCTTTTAATTTTATAAACCGAGGTTTGTCCTGCCACATGGAAAACAGTGGATTTAAATTTTCCTGATCTGGTTTTCTTTAAACCAACTGAAATAAGAACGTTGCTCCCCCCTCACACTTTTGCCCCCCCCCCATCTTTACTTATTTAGTAGCTAGAGCTACTGCCAGTTCCTGTGTGTGCTGGGGTACCCATGTCCATCCACGTACTGGGGTCTTCGAGGAGAGGGAGTAATGCAGGGACTTTGTGGAGGGAAAGGGGAGAATTGCATTCAGGGACCACACACCTGAGCTGAACCTTTGTGCGAGGTCACTGCAGCCTTTGTGCAGGCAGAACTGTTTTGCTTCTGCAGGGACTGCAGTCGCGAGCCCTTTGCGGAGAGCCAGCAAGTCAGGTTTATCCAAGACCAGCAGATTTTTGCTGAGGGAGCAGGGCTCGGAGAGGGCTTATTCAGGGGGTTATTTAAGTCTCACCCACCTCTAACACTGTATGCGATGAGGTCACCCTTAAGTCTCACGAGCACTGCTGCTGTTACAAATGGGGAAACCGAGGCAACGAAGTTGCACACGGAAGCTCTGGCAGAGTCAGGAATGGAACACAAGCCTCTTCAGGTTTGTCTACACAGCACAAGGGAGCGTGGCTTGTAGCCCAGGTAGCTGGACACGTGCTAGCTGGCTGAAAATAGCCGTGTGGATGCCATGGCAGAGGCAGCTGTGCCCAGGCTAGCCAGCCCAGCTCAGACTCAGGGTGTCAGGCAGGCGTCGACGTGGGCAGCTAGCCTGAGCGTCTACCCATGCTGCCATGTCCACGTGGCTATTTTTAGCATGCTAGTTTGAGTGGAGCTAGCACGAGTCAGTCTACCCAGGCTGGGAGGTTTGCTCCCAGCTGCAGTGCAGACACCCCCCCGAGTTCCCAGCTGGGAAGCCTTGTGCTTTAACCACCAGACCATTTCTTCCTCTTCAAGTAATAGAGCAAATGCAAACCTACTCGTTTCAAAACCTGCATTCATTTTTTGTCTTTTCCCGCCCTTGTTAGTCAAGAGCGTTGAGTATTTAAGGTCGTTCGTAAAGTACCGGGAGAAAGTGGCTTATGACAGAGCGGCTTTAGAATCGATGCATCAGAAGGCAAAAAGGGCCACCGAAGAGCATGACAAAATCATTCAGCTAGAATTCCAAGCCTATCAGAGGTACGTGGGTGATGGGTTCCCCCCGGGGTGCCACCTGAAACTGAGCCCCCCTGACCCACCAGCCTGAGCTCCCTCGTACACTGTGCTGCTGTGACAAGCTGCTGGACCCACTCCCGGTCTTACACTTCCACCAGCATTCACACAGGCAGGGACACACCCTGCTGCAGTTACATGCAGGCTCTCTGACCAGCCACGCACCCCTGGCTGGAGTATAAACCCAAAATTTTACCGTCTTGCACTGCCCAGTGAACTGCACAGCGTAAGCTCATAGAGGTCGCCCCTCCCTCAATGTGGGGAGGAAATGCAACAGCTCCAGCCCCTTGAGCTAAGATTCCCACGCCCTTCACTCCAAACGAACTGGTTTAGATTAAAACAAAAAATAAGTTTATTAATTACAAAAAGATAGATTTTAAGTGATAGCAAACAGATCAAAGCAGATTGCCTAGTAAATAAACAAAAATGCAAACTAAGCCTAAAATCCTAGAAAGATAGGGTTTGAATTAGCAAATTCTCACCCTAGCTGATGATACAAGCAGGCTTGCAGATTCTTAAGGGACAAGCTGCGTTTGCTTTGCAGCTTGGGATCTCCACTCACTTTCCAAGTCCACTTCTTTTGGAGCTCCTCTTAGGTGTTCAGTTGTGGGGGAGTAAAGACCGATAATGTCACTCCCTGCCTTATATAGCTTTAGCATGTGGCAGGAACCCTTTGTTTCAAACTTGGTTGCCAGACCAGTTTGTGGAAAAATACTGACATCCCAGAATGGAGTTCAGAGTCATGTGGTCTGGTCACAGGCCCTTGAGGAGTTATAGCTGCCATTACTTACAGGCTGGCCGAAACATTCACGGGAACGTGAAGCTATTCCATAGCCCATTGTCTTTGCTGATGAGCCATTAGCACTGGCTGGCTTCTTCATTGTTGTACCTGAAAGGCTGGCTGTGGGTATTTTCCAGAGTTAAGCCCATTTGAAATGCAGATCCATAGTCATAACTTCAGATACAAAAATGATACACGCATACAAGTAGGATAGTCATATTCAGCAAATCATAGCTTTTCCAATGACACCCGACGCGACCCATCTTGTACAAAACGCATCACAACTATGCCAGAATCATATCCTATAATATTACCAGGATGAATATGGGATGTAGTGTCACAACGTTATTCTATGTCTTTGTGGACAGTGCATGCATATGGGTAAAATCCTACTTGGCTTAAAGTTACTGCAGGTTGCAGCCCAGTAATAATCGGAAATCAGGGTGATCTGTACCATAGGGACCTTCACTTTTGTTGCAGGAACTGAGCGAATACATTTGCCTGTTCTGCTCTGTTTCCGAGTGTATGCATAGTGTTATTAGTACTGGTCATTTGTACTCTGGTAACGCCTGGGAGCTCCAGTCACTGACCAGGACCCCTGAAGTCCTGTGACTCCCTCTTCACCTTTTTGCTTACCTTCCAGGACGTTCAAGCTGCGGTTAAGCAGGGACACGAGTGCTTTCGCCAGAGACTTCGAGGTGACCGGGAAGGCCACCTCAGAGCCTGCAGATGTGTCTTTCATTTACTCTGGTGTCTTGCAAGGTAAAAATTAGACACAGCCCTGCAGAATGAAATTCTGCGATCGGATAGTCAGAGCAGGGCATGCAGCCTGATCCTCTGACCTGGAGGAGAGGGGAGCTCCGTCTCCAGGGTCCCTTCTATTTCAGGTCTTCCCGCTAGCGGGGCTGGTGGTTTTGTGCTGTGGGCACCTACCTGCTGGCACACGGACTGAACCCCCATCAGAGTCATTCCACAGACACTAATGCAGCTCCCATCCTTACTGACTGCGATTTGGGCACCTGGTTTGATTATGCCGGGCACTGCCAATATTCCCAGGAGCCAGCCAGCAGACTAGCAGTATAGCAGGGGGGCTGAGTTCAGTCTGGTGCGCCCTGGAAGGTTGGGATCAACAGTGGCTGGGAAAGTTGCAGGGAGGCTGGAGGACAGGGAGCCTGTTGATTTGATCCCCTGTGGCCATCGTAGCAGGCAAACCCTCCCCAGCAATGAGCGATGCTGGAGCCTGAATGCTGTGGCAAGCTCAGAGTGCTAGAATTGGCAGGGGCAGAGGGTTACATGCCCTCCCTGCTGCAACAGCCGTGGCAATAAGCTCCGGAATAATGTTGCATTTTGCACCACACCTTGGTGATGAGCTATACCTGGAATCCAGGGGTCAGTCCCATCCCAGATACGAGCAGCTGATCAGTAGTTATTAACCCCAGGCAGGCCCTTCAGTTACTGGGGAGAAACAGGTCAAGCCTTCCTTCTCATTGTCTATGTCTGGATGCCTGAAAAACAGATGAGCCTGGATCTTTCTGCCACGGTGCCATCATCAATGGCCTTTTCGAAGGGTTTATCAGAACCAAGAATGGCACCTACTACGTGGAGGCTCCCGGCGCATCTGTCAGCAATGCGACGTCTCCAGGCCATGCTCTCATCCACCATGAAAGCGACATCGGTGAGTCCTTGACTGGGCTTTGGCATGACTGAGCCTAGTAAAACTATTCTTGGCACTTCAGTCTCCCCTGCCCTCTTGGCCTGTTCCCTTTGCACTTCAATAACAACGCTTTTCCCCTCTTGACCTCAAAGGATTTCGTAAACACTGAATACAGTAATTAAGACTTGTAAATCCCCTTTCAACGGTACATTATGATGTTCCATTTTGCACATGGGAAAACTGAAGCACAGCGAAATGAACTGACACACCTACGGTCATCCAGCTAGTCAGTGGCAGAGCTGGGAATGAACCCAGGAGTCCTGACTCCCAATCCACCCTTGCGTTAGCCACTGGCCTTCACTGCCCTCCCAGAGCTGGGAATAGGAGTCCTGATGCACAATCCCCCTCCACAAGCAATCTCAATATTGCCCATGGGTGTTTGGAAGTGATGTCGCTCATTTTGCGTATCGCCAACTTGTGATATTTCTTTGAGTAACATCTGAATTTCTGCTCTAGATTATTCCATTTTAGAAGATCCAGACTCTGCTTCTTTGACTCGGAGAACGCATCAGGTCTTGCAGAATTTCCAGCAAGAGCTAAAGTTAAAGGTGAAGTGAAATTGAAGAGAAGCATCTTAAGCGGAAATAATTTCAAACTATGATTGTGCTGCAAAAAAAAAAAAAAAAAGACTGCCTGGGGCATTGATTGCTTTGAATTCAGTGAATACAATGTCTGTGTAGAATGTGACTTGATGGAATTCTAAGGCCTTAGCTTTTCAGAGCCATGGGGCTCTCTTTCCTAGCTAACTGGTATGGTCTGTAGGATCCCAGTGAGAAAGAGACAAGAGGCTAATTACATGGCAGAGAGTGTGGGGTCCAGCTCAGAACTTCCTCTGCATCTGGGAGAAGAGTGGGTTGGTTTTAAAAAAAAAAAAAATTGAAACATTTCCCCAAGTTTTGGGGTGAATTTTTGAAATTCGCAATTTTGTCCAAAATTTGAAATAAAAAAAAAAATTTCTGCAAGCTGGAGACAAAAAGTGTGTGTGTTGCGGGGGAACTGCAAACATGTCCTCACCAGGTTTTCCCTGCTTCTCCTCACCCCAATTCAAAAGTTCATTGAAATTTCAAAACATGAAATAGCTTTATTTGGGACAGTTAGGATGGAGGGGGTGGGGTGGGGAGAGGCAGTTGTTCGAGCCCATATTCAGTTTAGTCCAGGCAAACAAAATCCCTGAGTCTTGAGACAAATTATAACTCCAAAACCCTGGGCCAAGCTTCATGATTTTCATTTCATGGTTTCATAGAGTTTTAGGTCCAAAGGGATCATTAGATACATCTAGTCTGGCCTCCTGTATATCACCAGCCATTACATTTTACTCAGATACCCCTATACTGAGCCCAGTAACCTTAGTTAGATCAAAGCACCCCAGTCCTCAGGAGACTAAACTATTGTTTACCACAGGCAAAGAGCAAGAGAGACTGAGGTGCACCGTTGCCCAACGCCCCTGCAATGGCAGGGAATTGTTTAGGTGGGAATATGTCCAGATGTTCCCAGCAAGTGACCTATGCCCCATGCTGCAGAGGGAGGCGAAAGCCTAGAAACACGTTTCATTGTGGTTTGCCAGTCAGCCGCTCAACAATCTCTGGCTTCCATCGGACCCCAGCCAAAATGTGGGTGGCTTTCAGCTGAACTTGGCTTTGAAGTTTTGGGTTGGTTTGGAAGGCGGGTCTCAGGATGGGAACCCAGATGAACTGAACTGGAATGCAAAGGTTAACGTGAATCCTAGGAAGGAATTTCCCCTGTGAGCAAACTATGGCAGGCTAGTCTATAAACATCCACTTGCACTTTCCTCTGGACCAGCTACTTCTGGCCACTCTCAGAGGCAGGATGCTGAACTAGATGGACCAATGGTCTGATCCACTCAGTCAGTGCCATGGGCTTTGATTTAGCAAAGCATCACTGTTCGGCAGAGCATTAAGCACACACTTGACTTTATATACCCGCATCAATCCCCTTGGCTTTGCTGAATCAGGGCCTATGTTCCTAAATGAAGTTGCTTCTGTTTTGTTCGACTTTAACTGAGGATCTTTCTACACACTTCTTAACCCTTGCCGAAAAGGGAGAAACCTTGGAGAGGCGGAGAAGGAGTCTGGATTATTCTAGGACGTCCTGCCTGCTGTACCTTCAAGCTGACTACTTGTTCTACCAAAGATTTGGCACCACTGAAGCAGTGATTGCTCAGGTAAGAAATTGGGTGTTTTTAATTAATTAATATTTATTCATTTTCATCATGTAATCCAAAAAGAAAATTTGACAAATATCATGCTTCTAAAATGCTTGTCTTGTTGTATAAAACGTCACCATTGTAATGATGTTACAGTGTTTAAATGGCATCTTCGCCTCCCATCCATTCACCCACCACTGAAATGCAACTGCCTCTGGTGGAGGAACTTGGCAGCTGTTTGACAGTACATAGCCAACACTGTGAAAGGGGTTAGGCCATGTCTACGTTACAGTGGCACAGCTTCCTACATCAACAGAAGGGGTTTTCCCATTGATGTAGGTAATCCACCTGTCCAAGAGATGGATGGAAGAATTCTTCTGTCAACCTAGCCATGTTTACGGCAGAGGTTAGTTCAACCTAACTACAGTGCTCAGAGAGTGAATTTTTTCACAGCCCTGAGCCCTCTAGCTAGGTTGATCTAATTTTTAAGTGTGGACCAGGTCTTGGAGATGTGAGCTCTACAACTGAAACTACAAAGCAGCATCAACTTATGCTTGAGAGGTTTTTTTTGGATTTGGACTCAGAAGATCTGCGGTCAATTCCTGTCTCTTTTATCACTTCCTGGATGACGTAGGGCAAGTCACTTAATCTCTCCGGGTCCCAGGTCCCCACCTGTAAAATGTGGATAATAATAATTCCTTTGTCTCCCTTGCCCATGTAGATTACAAGCGCTGTGTCCTGCATCTAGCACAATGGGCCCTGATCATGGATGGGGCCTTTAGGGACAACTGCCCTAGAAATAAGAAGATATTTTAGGTATATTATTGTCAGGGGAACTGCCCTGTGGGGCTTGCTGTAGCATTTTCCTAAAGCGATGTCCATTCGATTGTGGATTAACCTTCTGTAAAGCTGAATCCTTTCTTTTCCCATCAGAGCAAGAACAATAAGACCTGCTACCTGCATTTTTCTTTATGCTTTCCATCAGTTCACACGTGAGGAGAATAAAAATAATCCTTCCCTCTCATCGAGTGCCTTTTATCAGCAGATCTGAAAGCGCATCACAAAGGGCGTCAGTATCATGAGCTTCATTTTACAGAGGGGAAAACCGAGGCACATATCGTTGACGTGACCTGCCTGAGGTCATCCAGCAGGCCCATAGCAGAGTCAGGAATAAAACCCAGATTTTCTGAGTCCCGCTCCAGTCACAAAAAGCGCTGGGGTTTTTTGGTCATATGAACATTTGTCTCCCCTGCAGATTGCTAGCTACATAAAAGCCGTGAATGCAATTTACGAAGGTGCAAATTTTGATGGTATCAGGCACATCGACTTCAAAGTGAAAACCCTGGACGTAAGTCAGTTGGGCGCTTGGGGCTGGGTTTGTCTCAAAACTCAAACGCCAGCGCAGATGGATTTCAGATTGAAATTTCTAGCGGGCAGGGTGGAGGTGAATGAAAACTGGCATGACACGAGGTGATTTGAAGGGGCCTGGATGGGTCAGGGGTCCTTCACGCTCAGGGTGCGCAGTCAAATCTAATTTATGGTGGTAGCAACTGCAGGTTTCATTGGGCGGACTCTGTGAAATGTGACTCGGAACAATCTCCCCTGCTCTGCGTTGCAGGCAGTAACCGCCTGGCTGGCTTGTGCTGTGTCCATTCTGCAGATAATCCAGGAGAACAATCCTTCTGGTTCTATGGAGTCACCTTTCATCGGCCCAGAAATGCTGCTGATGCTGCACTCCAAGTCCAACTGGAATAGCTATTGTCTCTCCTACCTCCTCACTGACAGGGATTACAGCGGAGTTCTTGGGATTGCTTTTAATGGACAAGCTGGTCAGAAGGAGCTTTTCGGTTATTTGTATAATGTTTTGTCCAATGATAAGTGGGATCATTGTTATTATTGGCGTCACCAGGTGGCACGGTTACACACAGTCTTAAGTGTTCTTTTCCTTAGCCTGTGCTCAGGGTGCAGTGGTTACAGAAATGTGGTGGTGGTTGGTTTTGTGATGTGGATTCACGTGGGGGAGCTGTTGCAAATAGCAAGAGAGTTTCCGCTCTGCGTGTCTCTAACTAGAGTTGATTACTGGGGACGAGTTGCTTGGGGCATTGGAGTTTGGGCAGTGAGTTCTGACAAAGGCATTGCCTGCATGTGGTTTGTGACCACCTCTGTTCAAGGACAGGTGTTATAAACCAGCAGCACTTGGAACGTGCACGCTCTCTGCATCACTGATAGGAAACTGAAACCCGCTACTGCTGTTAATATTCATGTAGTACCTAAAGCCCCCAACCATGAACAGGGCCCTACTGCGCTAGGTCAACAGTCTGAGACTTTGTCTTTTACACCATCCCACAGGCCCAGACCTGTAGCTGGTCCAAGCGCAGAACACCTGCTTGAAATTGGCAGGAGTTCTGCATTCTGAGCAGCTTCCAGACCCAGGTGCTTTGCTCCCTGCTTTCCCGGCTTGCGTCACCAAGACCGTTTAGTTTTCCTTTCTGTTTCAGGTGACTTGGGGGGAATATGTTCCAAGCACAGGAAATTCCGGGACAAGGAGGTGTCTCTGAACACTGGCTTGATCACGCTGCAGAAATATGGCCAATATTTGCCTCCTAGGATTCTCCATATCACTCTGGCCCACGAACTTGGCCACAGCCTGGGAGCTCCGGTGAGTACAGCGGGTGCATTGCAGAGTGGGCGTGACATTGAAAAGCAAACGGAGGAGTTGGCCTGGAAGCCTCCCCTTTGACAAACCGCCAAACCAGATGCTTGGCGGAGAAAACTGCAATAATACGTTGCGTTTCCCAGGGATCTCAAAGCACTTTACAAACACAGGTCAGCACCATCACCCCCTTTCTACAGGCAGGAAAACTGAGGTACAGAGCAGATGCAAGCTCACACAGGGAATTTGGCATAGAACCCAGGTCTGGAGGGACCCTATGCCAATAGCTTAGCCACTGGCCCACGTTCATTTCCCACAGGGCTGTTAAGTCCAGTAAAGTCACTGGGTATCTTTCCATTGACTTTGGATCAGGCCCTAAACGGGGATACACTTTAGTTGTGGAAATGTGTCTGAAACAAACCCTGGGTTCTGAGCAGCCCCAAACCTTGCAGCCTGGGCTTGTTGCCTAGTTTTTTCAAACTCTTGCTTCGAGGAAACTGGGTGTAACAGCCAAGCTGCCAAATGGCCAGCGTTCAAAACCTTTAGCCTGCCTCCAGGAAGGTGCGTGGCTGAAGCTCCGCTCATGAATGGATAGGTTTGTATTGCTAATCTATGGCTGTTGACGTAGCTTATTGGCTTGTCTGACAAAGTCCAGGGCTCTGTACTAGTTCATTATGATTTGTAATGTGAAAGAACCGTGGAGGTTGCATTGATGGATTTGCCGGGTTACTAGCTTGTGTCTCAGTTTGGCAATGCCACTGTAGTGAGGGGTGAGTTTACCTTCCTGGTCTAAGCTATGCTTGTGTGGACGCACTGAGAGTAACTGATTCCGAGGGGCTGGCCTCGGGTTTACAATAACTAGCTCCCCTGAACCAGAGGACTCCGATTCCATGAGACCAACACTGTGACTTGGTGTGCTGTGATGAGCTGCTCTTCCAGGTGAGACGCTAAAACCCAAGCTCTTGCCTGCACAGGATAAGCGTTACAGAACCCATGGCGCTTTTTGCATTAGCTGGAGCTGGAATGCAGGATCTTCCTCAGGCCTTTGTCCTTCCTCAGGACCCTCATTGATCCCTGAGATGCTGGAAAAGTTGACTGAAGAGAGCAAATATCAGCGATGGCAGCAGGTGGATGATGAAACTGGCTGGTGTTGGGCTGCTGTGTTCTACCCCAGAGGTGGCTGCATTTGGTTGCGTGAACCATTCCTGTGCCATCGCTTTATTATTGTTGTTGTTCATTACACACTGTATTATGAATAATATATTGTTAATATGCAAGATAATTATATTAACGACAACGCAGTGTTGCTACAGGGCCCAACTGAGATCAGAGACTGATTGTGTTAGGTGCTGTATATACCCTTAGTAGGAGACAGTCTCTGCTCTGAAGAGCCTACTGTCTAAGAATTTGTCTCTCTCAGGGTTTTATCCTGCTGTCTAAGCACCTTCCACGTCAAATCAATAACAAGAGCGAAGTCCCTAGCAGACTTTGCAGTGGCCCTTCTCCCTTTTTGGGGTCAGAACTCTGCTTGGGAAAGAGGCTGGGGGGTGTTTTCTTGGATTTTATTAAAAATAGACAAGGCAAAGGGTGGGAGGGGAAACTGAGGCACAGAGCAGGGAAGGGACTTGCCCAAGGTCACCCAGCAGGTGAGGGCAGAGCCAGGACTGGAGCCCAGGGCTCTTGAAGCCTAAGACACTAGATGACACTGACTCTCTGTATAAAGTCTGTGAAACAATTTGGGATGAAATGTGCTATAGCCCTGTATTATTATGATTCTATTACATATTAATACCATGAAAGGATTGTACTGTATATGAACATCTAAGGGCCTCTAAGATTCTAACCACGTTTTTATGTTCAGACAATAGAATCGGCGTGATCTCTCTTCCCGTATTCAAAGAGTCTGATCCTCTGTTTCAGCATGATGAAAGTAAAGAATGCGCCCGTTTCAGCTTTGACACCACGCATGGGAACTACCTGATGTTCAGCTACGCCACAGACGGATGGCAATACAACAATGACAAATTCTCCCCGTGCAGCAGTGAATACATCGGGAACATCCTAAGAGCCAAGAAGGACAGGTGCTTCGTTGGTAAGACCCGGTAGCTGTGTTTGAATTGTTTAAATTCTGCCCTGCATGCATTGCAAATAATTTACTGGTTCGTTGCTCAGGGCTGAGAGAGCTCTTAATCTGGGAAGGAATTTATAATAAAGGGGTAGGTTTTGCTTCACCAGAGTTGGAGGCAAGTCTCACAGATGGCAAGATATTTGCAAAAACGAGAATTATTTATCCTGGTGAGGCAGCTGGATAACTCAACTATGGGGTAATGATTCATGAATAGAATAGAATAGAATATTATGGTGATTAGACAGATGTGCGTGTATGGGAGGGAGGGAAGAAGAGAGAGATGGATTCAGAGAGGTCTTGACTGGGGTATTTAAAATTTGGAAGGGTCCAACGAAGATTCTTCAGTTTCTCTTTTTAGCAGTACTGTATTACAGGAATAAGGGGTTATTCAATGAAACTGACAGCTGGTAAACTTGCAAAGACTCCATCAAACACACTGTCAACCGTAGAGGGATCCACTGCAGCTAGACTTTATAAAAGGGCTGAGTAATTTTAGGACCAAGGACAAAACACATGCTCAAAATAAAGGTCAAGCAAAGCTCACACATCAGGGCACAAGCAGATGGGACACAGGGGCCAGGTAAGAATTTCTGCTCTTCCCCTGCCCTTCCCATAATACACATCATTGTAAAAAACAACTTTAAGGCATCATTGGATATTGTCACCAAGCATCAGGGGTTTGCCACTGCTAGACCTGCTGGTCCAATGATCTGACCTGGTAGGGCTGCATCTCGAGAGAGCCATCATCACCATGGTGTCCCTTCCTCAACTCTTTCCCTGTTTGTCTCCTCCCCTGGCAGAAACTGACCGCCCCATCTGTGGGAATCAAATTGTAGATCCAGGGGAGGAGTGCGACGCGGGCAACGATGACTCTGACCCTTGCTGCTATGCTGCCAAGGAGCCAGAGGGCATCCGATGTAGGCTGAAGCCAGGAGTGCAGTGCAGGTAGGTGTCTACAGGAGGGGTTCTCCACCTTTCCAGATGTCTGTCCCCCTTTCAGGAATCTGATTTGTCTCGCGTACCCCCAAGTTCCACCTCACTACAAAACGACTTGCTGACAAAATCAGCCATAAAAATACAAAAGTGTCACAGCACACTGGTACTGAACAATGGCTGACTTTCTTATTTTTACCATATAATTGTAAAATAAATCAAGTGGACTATGGATATTGTACTTACACTTCAGTGTATAGTACATAGAGCAGTATAAACAAGTCGTTGTCTGTATGAATTTTAGTTTGTGCTGACTTTGCTAGTGCTTTTTATGTAGCCTGTTGTAAAACTAGGCAAATAGCTAGATGAGCTGATGTACCCCCTGGAACACGTCTGTGCACCTCTAGGGGTACACGTACCCCTGGTTGAGAACCACTGATCTACAGTGTCTGATCAATGGTTCTTTCCCCTTCCATGCAGACTCTGCAGGGGGCACTTGTTTTACAATCATTCCAAAATCCCGCACATGGCAGTTTGCTGGAGATACCAAAAGTCACTTAAAAGGTGCATTTTGAGGGCATGTTCTTGCCCTCCCTGGGCACTGCAGGGAGTGAGCTGTGTTAATTACAAAAACCGTCCAAGAGGCCCCCACGTGATAAAGCTCGTGGAACATGGCACCATGAATCTGACCCCATGTTGGGATCTGACCCTGTGATTCCATGGTGTCTAGGCATTTTCAGACCTGATGATAAAACACAGAACCATCCTCTCCTGGGAGAGCTCAGGTGGCTTCATGAACATCTAGGAAATGGCAGCTCCTGTCTGAAAGAGCTTCCAGCCTACAAGGCACTGCAGGTGGAGATGAACAAGCCAGACAGGGCAGGGAGGCAGAGTAACAATCATAGGATGTGTTTAATTCCTGCCCAATCAAAGCCCCTGGGGTTTGTTCCAAGGCGGCTGCCCCCTCCCCAGCCCTTTACAGTCTCTGTACCTCCCCTGAGTCAATACTGGGGGAAAGGCTGGCTGTGGGTACAGTTACTTCTTCTCCCATTTAATTCTGGAGGCCACTGCCTTCCATTTCTACAGCACCATCATCCAGAGATCTCAGAGCACCTGCTCAAATAAATTGGTTAGTCTCTAAGGTGCCACAAGTCCTCCTTTTCTTTTTATAAACATTTGTTGTTTAATCCCTGCCCCTCTGTGTATTAGACCCATTTGACGGAGGCAGAGACAACAGCCCAGCTCTTCGAATTTAGGCACCTAACTCCCTCTGAAATCAGTTTAGGTTCCTAAATCCCTTGGAAGGTCTGGGTTGAAGTGACTTGATAGCGAGTCAGTTGCAGAATCGGGTAGAGAATCCAAGAGGTAGAGAATCCTGCTCTAACCACCAGTCTCCACTCGTCTTGCAGAGCTGGGAATAGAACCCAGCGGTCCTGGCTCCCAAGGCCCCAAGCTCAAACCCCCAGACAAATACCACCTCTGCTAACCAAACCCACCTGAAAAGGAATTGGAAGGGTCTCGTGCACTGGCCAGAGCAAGGAGCAGCATGGGAGCTGGCCTAGCGCTGTTATGATTCAGGTCATAGCCTGCTGCTAGGTAACATTGTTGAGTACTTACATATGTTTACATGTACTATTTCTTGCTCTTCCAGCTCAAGCCAGGGCCTGTGCTGCAGCCATGAATGTGTCTATAAACTCCAAGGGGAGCTCTGCCATGAGGAGACTGATTGCACCTTTGAGAGCACCTGCTCTGGACGAACAGCTGAATGCACCGTTCCCCCTCCCAAAGCCAATTACACTCCATGCAGCATGGGGACACGGATCTGCTTAAATGGGGTTAGTCCTCAGAGCTAACTAAAGCACCCCCAGGAGCCTGATGCAGTTGGAGAAATTAAGAGCTGGAAGGGAGCAATAGCTGGGCAATAACCATGGTTCGTGCATGATTGACAAGCCTGGAGGCTGCAGTCCTTTCATCATCCACAGGGCCGGTCCAGCACAGGCAGCAGGAATGTTAGCTTTCCCCGCGTTAGGCACAATTAGCCCACAGAACTCCATGCCACTAGAGATCTCTCAGGCTGAGTGTAGCAGAAGTCACAAAGGGGATTGAACCTTTACATAGCAGGAATTTCCAGAGCTGCAACAAAAGTGTTGGGGGGGATTTAAACCATCCTGCATAAGGGCATAAACGAACCCTTTAACGTGGGTGCGGAACCAACATTCCCTGTGAGCAGGTTTGCCAGAAGTGCTTGCTCCTGGGTTTCTTGCACCTTCCTCTGAAGTAGCTGGTTCTGGCCCCTGCCACAGGGAAGATACTGGGCTAGATAGACCCAGCGTCTGATCCCGGATGGCCATTCCTGTTCTCACCCCTCATGGTTTGCTCTGCGGCTGCTGAGGCCCTGCTTGTTCTGTGGGTGAACGGAGGAATCCAGTCAACCAGGTACCTTCCACTGGAAATTAGATTCAATTGGACTGGACTTGGGGAAACATTTGTTTCCTGCCTCATTAAATGGAACAAGCATTTGTATGAAAAGCTCAGTCCTTCAGCGAATACATGCTGGCACAAATCCTCAAAGGGGTATTTAGGTGCCTAACTCCTGTTGATTTCAATAGAGTTAAGCACCTAAGCAGTACTGAGGGTCTGGGTCCCTCTGCTCCGGACAGATCCCTCACCTTGGGTAACCTCCCTCCCCCACATAAATCCCATCGCTTATTCCTTTCCTTGTAGCTCTGCCTCGGATCACTCTGCGTCAAGTACAGCCTGGAGCAATGCGACTGCGTTAGCACATCCAGGCAGGAGAAATGCCACGTATGCTGCCAGCAGCCAGGTATGCAATCTGTCTGGCTGCCTGAAAAAAGCCCCGGCGTGGCTTTTTCCTAGAGTGAGAGGAGAAGGAGTGGCCGGGGTCAAGGGAGGACAAGGGCTGGGGTCAAAGTTGCCAGCTCTATGCCATCAGTGGACTTTAAGAGCCAGCAGCTCAGGGGAATGTATTAGAGCAGGATGCCCTGACACAGTAACCTTTGCTGGCCGTAGCATGGCCTTATTAGCGAGAGGTAAAAAAAGCAACCCCAAAGCTTCCTTTTATAACAGGACTAAAGCTCTCCAGGGTGCTCACTGATCTATTTGTACGCATCTGAGACAGCCCCGATGCTCCAGCATACGACGAGCCGGCAGAACGGCATGCGTATCTAGGTTGAACCCTGGAGTCGTGCTTTTCAAAACCCCTGCTCTAGGCCAAGTGGACACATGTGCCAGTACATCCTCTGCTCTGCTGCAGCATCACTTCAACGGCACGCACATCCCGCTGACCCCAGGCACGCCCTGCAGGGACAGGACGGGCTACTGCGATAAGTTTCACGTCTGTCGGCTCGTGGACGAAGATGGGCCCATAGCCAGGGTGAAGAATTCCATCTTGGATTTCATTGAGCTGCAGGATGTATCAGACTGGATGAAGGTAAGCAGCTGCATGAGATTTTTTTTCCCCCCTCATTTCCTCCCTCCCCCAGAGCGACTAGGGCCCAGATTTTCAGAGGGAGTCCGGCCGCTTTGAGAATCTGGGCCTAGGTCTGTAGATCTACAAATATTGGGGGAGTGAACAGTTAACATAGGGGGCTTGAGACCTGGGCTCACCTGTGACCATGGGCAATTCACCTGCCTCTCCTCTGTTCCACACCTGTTAAATGGAGGTAACATCCTCCCTCACAGGAGTGAATAATTGCCTGGAAAGCACTGTGGATGAAATTGTATTACTGTGGAAGGGAGCATGGAGGACATACACTCAGGGCTTGGTTTTCAGAGCTCTCATTGGTTCCCGCTGGGACGGAAGGTGCTCAGATGGCCCTTGTGATAGGGTTCTGGTCTGGTTTTGTCCCTCAGACGCGCTGGTGGGCTGTGCTCTTGATGATCCTGACTTTGGCAGCTGTGATGGCCGGCACAGTCTTCCTCTTCGGAAGGACGCTTGAAAGCGAAAAAGGCGAGTAACTGCTTTAAGCAACTCCCGCTCAGTCCAGTCCGCTCCTTGCTTTCTCAGGCAGGGTAAGCTCATCATCAGCAAGCACTGTCCCGGAAACGGTCAGGGAAAAATACAGCCTGATGTAGCTGACACCTTCTGTTCAAATGACACCACACTGACAACTGTTGCTGGGCTACACACACAACCCAGCACCATCAGAGGAGCCACGTGTCACCTTGATTTTTAAATGTTCCCAATTAATATTGTCAAAGCTAAGGAGGCAGTCAACCAAACTGAGTTTTCAGGTTTGAGCCTCCAAGTCAGTTACAGACAATATAATTTTGTAGAGGACCCTGGATAATACTTTGAATGATAGAATCAAACTTCATTTAAAAGAAGCAATAGTTAAGCAAATGTGCACAATTACCATTTACGCAGGTACTACCATTATACTTCCATTCAAAGACGGAATGGTGGGTCAGTCCACTAACAGAATGAAGTACGGCCTTATAACCCTGTAACCTACTGGTACCCTTTTGGTGTTAACTGGAGCTCTCTCCAATTTAGCAAAACCACTCCTTTTTCTAACCCATTATAAGACTAATTAACATTAAAACCTACTGAGTACCATATCTACATTTCCACCACCTCTTTATGTTACATGAGTGAAATCAACAGCTGCACCAACGTCTTTCCCATACTCTCAGTAGATAGCATTTTCCTAAAACAGCCACAATTCTCAAAAACACTCATTTAAAAACCCTGCTAAAACCAGCTTTAACCACAACATAACCCTGGCTTATGTCCTTGCTAACTTCAATTTTCTCATCTTACTAGCTACAACTTCTCTCTCACTTTTGCTCTCGCCAACTCAATTTCCCATACTCCTCTGTATTAGCCTAATTGAGGCCAAAGTCTAATTTCTACTTATTTCTTAACCTAATACATCCAGTAGGCTACACATGGAAGCTACCACTGTGCTTATATCTGCTAGGGGGTGAAGAGCCCTTAACTTGCACCCAGGTGAAAATTTCAGGGGGGACCATTATGAGATCCAACTGTTAATGAGCTGAATTCCCTTACACTTTTCCCATTAGCCCACTCTCTTGCATCCTTCCCCTCACATCAGTGGTGACCTCAGACCTGCACAGTTGCAAGCGGCAACCTTTTGCCCCTTGTCAGAATGCAGCCAAGAAACCGACCACACTTGCCCGTTCAGCTACGCCACTACCAGGAACTGTCACATCCTCTCCAGGCCGGGTGAATGGCTACCTGGCTTTGGGCTCCTATGCCATCATTGGAGCCTGCCAAATCTGACCATGCCTGGGGCATCTGGGACAGCCCCTGGGGCAGATATGATGCTGCGGAAGATGCTGCACATACGGGATGGCTGCTCTTTCATGCTGGGCTCCCCAGAGGTCTTCCCTAGCTGAACATTGCAGACTCCGAGGTCACTGACTGGCTCTTAAGGCCATGCAGCTGCTTTCCCTCCCTCCACCAGACCTTGCCTTGCCCACATACAATAGTCTTCTCTCTCATGTGTGCTCCCTATACACACCCCTTCTTCACACTGCTCCCATAACACAACTCCTGCCCCCACCCCACTAATGGACCAGCTTCTCCTTGCTCAGCCTCTTACCCATATAGCTATGGTCCAGTGTCACATGCTCCTAAGGTACTGCACCATAGATCTTTGTACGTTCATCTCCATTGCCTTTGCGCTCATGAACTGATAGATCTTAAGGCCAGAAGGGACCATCATGATTGTCTAGTCTGACCTCCTGCCAATCACAGGCCATAGAACCTCACCCATCTATTCCTGTAATAGGCCCATAACCTCCAATTGAGTTACTGAAGTCCTCAAATCTTGATTTAAAGACTTCAAGTTACAGAGAGTCCACTGGTTACTCTAGTTCAAACCCATAAGCAATACATGAGAGGGCTAAACACCAGGGAAGGAGAAGAGTTATTTAAGTTAAGGGCTAATGTTGGCAGAAGAACAAATGGATGTAAATTGGCCAGCAAGTTTAGGTGAAGGTTTCTAACCATCAGAGGAATGAAGTTCTGGAACAGCCTTCCAAGGGGAATAGTGGGGACAAAAAAATCTAACTTGTTTCAAGACTGAGCTTAAGACATTTAGAGAGAGGATGGTATGAGGTCTCCTACAATGGCATGTTGCCCATTTGCAACAGCTGTTAGCAAATATTTCCAACAGCCAGAGACCGGACACTATATGGGGAGGACTCTGAGCTACTACAGAGAATTGTTTTCAAGGTATCTTGCTGGTAGGTCTCATGCACGTGCTCAGGATCTGACTGCCATATTTGGCGTCAGGAAGGAATTTTCCTCAAGTCAGACTGGCAGGCAGAGACCTGAGTGATTCTAGCACATTTCACTTTGCCACTCCCTTGAGCACAGAATACTGCAGAGAATCTGTTAAGAGGACACAGATCAAAGCCTCTAAGAGTTCCTCAAATATCAAGTAATCCAGGGCCTTAATGAAGTTCCATGCTGGTTTTAACATGTTTATGTAGTTGTTCACAGGTCTGGGATAGCTCAGCTGTCCAGACATTTACAGTTATTCCTTTGCAAGATTTCTGTGCACAAAGGCTTCATTGTATGGATTCCATTCTCTATGAAACCCTTAACATAAGAATGGAAATACAGGGTCAGACCAATAGTTCATCTAGCCCAGCATCCTGTCTTCTGACAATGGCTAAGAAAAGCCACCACATAAGATGCTCCTCCAAATCAGAAGCAAACAGCCTCTGCATCTGGGTAAACCCACAAGTAGAGAAGGGCTCAGACAAGAACTCTAGCTCCAAACATTTTGTCATTGGTAGGGTTCAGAATCCAGATATAAATCCAAATTTTCACCACTGTTTGCTTTTGGTCATAGGCCATGCATCCACAGGGGGAATTAGAGATGCAGCTGTTAGTTCATCCATGGTATTACCACCTGGTTACCTAACAATAGGCAAGCGGCTCTACAAGAATCATTGATGATGGTTGTTGCATTTTTATCTTTTACTTAGAAGAGAAAAGCATGAAGTGCACGGTCAAGAAGAACTCACTCAGCCAGCAACCTGAGAAAAGGCAAACATTAATATACTGGGAACACGAGGAGCTCTACATTGAAACGACGCACCAGGAGTATGAGACCATAATATAGCAGATACACATCATCCTGATTCAAGTCTGCTCTTGGAGGTCATCACCATCCAGAACACATGAGCAACACATTGGAGCAGCTTTTTCAGAAAAGCTCAGCTCCCATTTAAGCACCTAAAACAAGTGACCAGATTTTTCAAACAGGCTCAGCATCCAGCAGCCGCTGCTGAAAATCCAGCTACTCCCAGTCAGGACTTCTGGGTTCTACCTCCTGCCACTAGAACAATAGGTACTTTATGCATAAAGGTATTCCTTGATCTGCCACTGACTTGCTGAGTACCTTTGCCAAGTGCCTTCACCTGCCCGTGACTCTTCTTCCTGCCTGCTTCAAAGGTACGGGGAGAGATAATGTCTGTAAAGTACTTAGAGATCAGCTATTAGAAGAAATGGAGGAGAGAAGAGAACTTATCTGCTACTGCTTTTACTGGGCCAAATAAATCATTTTGTGTATCACGTTCTCAAATAAGGAATTTCATGTTAAATATATATTTTTTGAAGTCTGACACTTTTCATGTAGGATATCTAATTTTCCCCCTTTGCTAAAGAAGAGTCTGATTTGGCCATCCTTACCTCACAGGACATCCTATAGGAGTAATCCCACTGAATCCCATCGATTTTGAGGCCATAAGAGACCATCTATGATCAATAGATTCAGTGCTGCAAGATCAAAATTATTCAGTACTGGGGGGACATGGCCTGGGATAATGTGTCAAAAACCCCTAGTCACTCCCACAGTTTAACATTCTTAGGGCAGTAAGGGGTAAAAGCCCCCTTCCTCTCCATTTGATAGAGTTCTACAGTAATTTGCAAAATCTGTTCTTGGGCCAGAGCTTTTCATACTGTGAGTGGCTGGTTAATTGTCCTAAGATTTTTGTTTGTTTGTTTAGTTACATAGCACTGAAATAGTTGGCACCCACTTTCTAGATGGATGAAGTTTCTTAAGGGTCTATTTAGACTGTAAGCTCTTTACGGAAGGTGTATGTGTGTGTACAGCACCAGCATAGTGGGGCCCTGATCTCCTTTGTGGCCTGTAGACACTACTGTAATAAAAACCAACAATGACTACAAAGCCTGCATGCTAACACCAACCCACGTGCAAAGGGAAATTCCAGAGTCTTTTATTGGAGCCTTTGCATGGCTGCGCTGCCCTCTAGTGGTACGTACTACATCTCATCCCTGAGACTGTAGCATTGAGGAAAAAGCAAAGGCTGGAGAGAGAGAGTGTGTGTTCATTTGATGAGGTCCTTCATGTACTTCCAGCCATCATGGGTGTATTCACGGACCTTGGTGGGAGCCACAGATAGAGCAGACACAGTGGCCTGAACTCCTGCAAGAAAAGTAGCAGAGAGAGGTCCTGAGAAGAGCATTAACACAAAGCTGAATTTGCTACTGTTATTCATGATGGATCACACAGATCTCCCCATTTAACAGGTGAGATCTATCCTTATGAAAGGAAGTTTCAGACAAACCTAGGCATCATTCTTGTCTCATCTGGCATCACCACCTCAAACCAGGTCTGAAGGATGGTTTTGTGGTTAAAACAGCACCGGGACATAGGGGATCTGGGTTCTTTTCCTGGTCCTCCACAGACTCCCTCTGTGTAACTTTAGGCAAGTCACTTATTCTCAGTGGGCCTTAGCAAATTACTAAGTGTTTGCAGAGTGCTTTGAAATGCTCAGATAAAAATTGCTAGAGAAGGACAAAATATTATCTTAAGGTGGTACAGGAATAAAGGGAAATGTCTTCCCTTTTCACACTAGCCTAGTAGGGCAAAGGTTGAGTTCAACTGTACTCAGTATCCTTATACAACAAGCCAGTTGGGTTTATAAACTCTTCAATCCTTCAACAGAGATGGGACTTCTCAGGAGTAAAAGTCGTCATAGTGTCTCTTTATATTGCTACCTCCATGATCGTGGTCAGTTTTGCTGTCTTAAATTACCTGCTGCATAGGTAATAATAATAAAAGTCCCTTACATAGGAATTTCTTAGTTCTTACATAGCACTTTCCATCAGTAGATCTCAACGCGCTTTTTTTACAAAGGAAATCAGCATCATTATCCTCATTTCACAGATAGGGAAACTGAGGCACAGACTGGCAGCAACTTGGCCATGGGCACCCAGTAGGCCAGTGGCAAAGCCAGGAATTAGAACCCAGGTGTTCCAATCCATTGCTTCATTCACTAGGCCACACTGCCTCCCTTCCTTCAATCTAATGGGCCAGCATTCTAGGATAAGTTGTATCACTGATCGTAGACCTATTCTATAGCTTAGGCAGTGAAGGGTCAAGTCTTACCTGTGTTCCAGGATTCAGAGACAGAAAAGTCAAATTTTGGAGCGGATGGAAGCTAAAAAAAAGAAAGAAAGAAACGGGGGGGGGGGGGGGGAATCAGAAGTGTTTGTGGACACTAGCTACATACAAAATGGCTAAACGATGGCTTAGAAGGAATAATGAAAAACAGAAGCTAACAGACTCCCTGGGTCACCTTGGGCAAATCACTTAAGCTCTGATTCAGTTGACCCAGCTGTTAAATTGGGTAAAAGAGTACCATTTTCAAAAGCAGCTTTGGTGCCTAAGTCACTAAGGTGACTCTGAATTGCTCACAATCTAAGGACACAGATTAGGTGAGGGGAAAAAAACAAAACCTGAACAAAAACAGTAGGCAATTTATACACAACTTGATTAACTATAAGCACCATGGCAGAAATGGGTCTTTAAAAGGGAGGATCGATGCATTAGTGTTTGTAAAGTGTTTAGAGATCCTCAGAGGAAAGATGGCTCAGGAATACCAGCTATATAAAAAAAAATCTAGACATTTTCATTTTCTCATCCTTTGCAAATTATCCCTTTCATGTCCCACCTCAGATAAGTTCTCGCTCTCCCAACAAGTTTAAAAATCTATTCTCCTTCCATTCCCCTCGAATTAAAAAAATAAGTACGGGGGAGAAGTCTGGCTCCATTGAAGTCAATGACAAAACTCCCGTTGACATCTATGGAGCCAGGATTTTTCCCCAGCACTTTCCCTTCCTCCCTCAACACCAAGCCAATTTGCTAACCAGTCTTATCTGCACAGTTCTTACCTCCCAGCCTGTGTAATCTGTCCATTCCTGTATAGCTGGAGGCAGTGCTGCTCGAGCCTTTTTGAGGGCCTCTGCTCCTTGACTGCCATTTCCCAGAAGCCCCTGATCATATGCCACATACATGGCACCTCCAGCCAGGCTGCCTTTGACGAAGAACCTGAGAGGGAACGAGTAGCAACAGAAACCCAGTTTGCATGTAGAGCTTTTCAACCAGCAGATCCCGATCCCCAGAGGGGATCACAAAAGGCAATGAGGGGTAGAAGGACATAGTCACAAGGCATTAACATTTTATTACAATCTAAAGCAAAGAAAATCTAGCTCTCCCATCCCCACTCTCACCGGTCAAGATCAAGTATTCTTTGTCAACCTCTTAAAGCCACACACAAATACATTATATAGGCTTATTGTTGCTACTTTTCTTAAAAAAATTCTCATAATAAATGTAAGGGGAGTCATGAAAATATTTGACTTAAAAAAACACTGCCAACTATTTCAAGTTTCAGAGGAACAGCCGTGTTAGTCTGTATTCGCAAAAAGAAAAGGAGGACTTGTGGCACCTTAGAGACTAACCAATTTATTTGAGCATGAGCTTTCGTGAGCTGTAGCTCACGAAAGCTCATGCTCAAATAAATTGGTTAGTCTCTAAGGTGCCACAAGTCCTCCTTAACTATTTCAAGAACTAGCTGTGGGTAAGAAATCCATATTTAATGAGGTTTCCTATTGCATCTCACGAATAAGCGCTCAGATTACCTGATATAAATGTGTCCCTCTAATGCAGTGAATTACATTGCAATTAGCATCTCACTCCAACCCATTCTGAATTTGTTGTGTGTTTAAGACTCAGACTGAGTGTTGGGTGTGCAAGGAACACAAGTCTGGACAACAACTGGTAATCCTGCAAAGGGGGAATGGAGATATTTGGCTTGGGCCCTATTTGCTTCTTAATGATGGATAAGAGATGCCTGTGGTATTTATTTTTCCTCAGTCAAAAGGGAGAAAGGAAGGAGTTGCGCTTTGTTTTTTACCATTACAAACTCAGGTCCTGTCTAATCTACAAGACTCTATAGTAACTAGAGACCATGTCATATGATGACATCACAAGAGCAGAGGGTGTGAAAACTACAGCAACTGAGAGGGCAAGGGATTTATAGTCAGATTGTTTCAAATGCTGCATTTGTTGGCTGATCTTTAATGGCAATGCTTAGCTAACATGGTGGAGAAAGGAATTCTCTGTTAAAGATTCAACACACCTGGCACCACCCCCACTTCAGCTAATTCCACCCCTTCCCTGAAAGGTGTGAGCTCAGAACACACACCATCCCAGGCCCATAGTTGGGCTCCCAGCGCAAAGCCGGGGGGTGGGGTGGGTGCCCAGCTTGTTGTAGGTTTTTTTAAAAAAACATTTCTGGCCCCCGTTACCCATGGTAAGAAAGCAGATGGTTGCGGGGAAGGGAACCTGAGGGCGGTGGAGCCGGGAACTTGGGGAGAGGCACAGGGAGGAGAGCGTGTAAAGCGGCACTTGGGGGAGGGGAGGCTGAAGGGGGTCAGGTGGAGCAGGCAGAGGGGGGAGGGGTTTGGGGGAACGCTGAAGGGGCAGCTGGGGGGTAGCCTGGGAGGATGCTGAAGGGGGCGGTTGGGGGGGGCCCAGGGGTGGTGAGGGGGCAATTGGGGGAGGTGATAGGGGCAGGTTGGGGGGGGAGAGGACCAGGGCAGTGAGGGACAGTTGGGGGAGGCTGAAGGGGGCGGTTGGGGGTGGGGGGCAGGGTAGGCTGAAGGGGACATGGGGCTCTGAGGGGCAGTTGCAGGGGGGAAGCTGATGGGGGCGGGGGGGGAGGAGCCTGAAGGAGGAGGTGGGGGGACAGGGGCGCTGAGGGGCAGTTGGGGAGGCTGAAGGGGGCTGTGGGGGGGCAGGGGCGGTGAGGGGCAGTTGGGGGAGGCTGAAGGAGGAGGTGGGGGGGGCCGGGGCGCTGAGGGGTAGTGGGGGGAGGCTGAAGGGGGCTGTGGGGGGGCAGGGGCGGGGAGGGGCAGTGGGGGAGGCTGAAGGAGGAGGTGGGGGGGCAGGGGCGGTGAGGGGCAGTGGGGGACGCTGAAGGGGGCGGTGGGGGGCAGTTGGGGGAGGCTGAAGGAGGAGGTGGGGGGCAGGGGCGCTGAGGGGCAGTTGGGGGAGGCTGAAGGGGGTGGGGGGGGGCAGGGGCGCTGAGGGGCAGTTGGGGGGAGGCTGAAGGAGGAGGGGGGGGGCAGTGGGGGAGGCTGAAGGGGGCGCTGAGGGGCAGTTGGGGAGGCTGAAGGGGGCGGTGGGGGCAGTGGGGAGGCTGAAGGGGCGGTGGGGGGGGCAGGGGCGCTGAGGGGCAGTTGGGGGAGGCTGAAGGGGGCGGTGGGGGGCAGTTGGGGGAGGCTGAAGGGGGAGGTGGGGGGGCAGGGGCGGTGAGGGGCAGTGGGGGGACGCTGAAGGGGGCGGTGGGGGGCAGTTGGGGGAGGCTGAAGGAGGAGGTGGGGGGGGGGGGCGTGAGGGGCAGTTGGGGGAGGCTGAAGGGGGGCTGAGGGGCAGTTGGGGGAGGCTGAAGGAGGAGGTGGGGGGGGGCGGGGGGTGAGGGGCAGTTGGGGGAGGCTGAAGGAGGAGGGTGGGGGGGCCGGGCGGTGAGGGGCAGTTGGGGGGAGGCTGAAGGAGGAGGTGGGGGGGGGGGGCGGTGAGGGGCAGGGGGGAGGCTGAAGGAGGAGGTGGGGGGGCGGGGCGGTGAGGGGCAGTGGGGGAGGCTGAAGGGGGTGGGGGGGAGGGGCGGTGAGGGGCAGTTGGGGGAGGCTGAAGGAGGAGGTGGGGGGCAGGGGCGGTGAGGGGCAGTGGGGGAGGCTGAAGGAGGAGGTGGGGGGGGGGGGGGTGAGGGGAGGGGGGAGGCTGAAGGAGGAGGTGGGGGGGCCGGGGCGGTGAGGGGCAGTTGGGGGAGGCTGAAGGAGGAGGTGGGGGGGGCCGGGGCGGTGAGGGGCAGTTGGGGGAGGCTGAAGGAGGAGGTGGGGGGGGCCGGGGCGGTGAGGGGCAGTGGGGGAGGCTGAAGGAGGAGGTGGGGGGGCCGGGGCGGTGAGGGGCAGTTGGGGGAGGCTGAAGGAGGAGGTGGGGGGGGCCGGGGCGGTGAGGGGCAGTGGGGGAGGCTGAAGGAGGAGGTGGGGGGGCCGGGGCGGTGAGGGGCAGTTGGGGGAGGCTGAAGGAGGAGGTGGGGGGCCGGGGCGCTGAGGGGCAGTTGGGGGGAGGCTGAAGGAGGAGGTGGGGGGCGGGGCGGTGAGGGGCAGTTGGGGGAGGCTGAAGGGAGGAGGTGGGGGGGCCGGGGCGGTGAGGGGCAGTGGGGGAGGCTGAAGGAAGGAGGTGGGGGGGCCGGGGCGCTGAGGGGCAGTTGGGGGAGGCTGAAGGGGGCGCTGAGGGGCAGTTGAGGGGGCGGCTGAAGGGGACCGAGGGGCCCACGTTGGCGGGGGCACTGCGGGGACCGAGGCGCGGTCCGTCCCGCCCGCCTCACCTGACGACGGGGAAGACCCGCGAGGAAGCCATGACGGGAGCCCAAGGGCAGCAGCGAGCGCTCGCCCGGCCGATCCGCGCCGCAAAGGCTTTCGGGCGTTGTAGTCTCGGCTTCCGGCCGGTCACGTGGCCAGCGCCGGCGGGCGGTGACCATTGTTACCCGCACAGAACCCCGCCCCCGCCCCCGCCGGCTAACCCACGTGACCCTGGGCGCCCACACACTTCCGCCTCGGTAGCTGTCATGGCGGCCAGGCCAGGTGCAGGCGGGGGCGGAGCCAGGCACGTAACCTTCCCCGCCCGGGGGACCTTCCCTGCCTCGTCAGGTCACCCCCCCGCAGCCAGGTAGGTGGGGGGTGGCGTGGGCCGGGCCGGGCCTCGGAGCCCAGCCGGGGGTCCTGGGTCTAGCGAGGGGGTGGGAGCGGGGAGGCTGCAGGACGGAAAAGCACCTGCCCCGGGCAGCGAGCGAAGCTGCAGCTCTGCTCAGCCCCCCCCCGCACTAATCCCGCTCCCCCCGCTCCCTGCAGCGAGCCGCAGCACCTCCCGGGCCCGGCAAACCCAGCCCCTTGTTCCCTCCTGCGACCTGCCCTCCGCTGTCCTCCCAGCCGGCCTGCCGCCGGCGAGAAACATCCCTAAGACCTCGCACGTACAGTGAAATAAAGCCATAGGCGAGCTCCCGCCGGCTCTTTAAAAATGTACCTCGCCCCTTCGCCACCGTTCCCGCTCCCTGCGGTAAGCAGCCTTCTCACGGCTACCCCCGTCTACGCTAGCAGCATCCCACCAGCAGCCCGGCGCAAAATCTTGCGGCGTGCACTGAAAATGCATCTTGCTGTCAGCCCAGTAGACCCCCGATACATGCAATAAAATTCCATTCGCTGTTCTCCACGCAGGGTTGCAACATGTACTAAAATCACATTTCGCCGAGCCGCACCGTGGCTAGACCCACGCATTGCACCCTTGGCGACTCAGCTCCGCTGCACGCGTTAAAAATGCCTTTGACTGTTGCTGACCTCATCCTGCTACATGTAAATATAGTGGATCCCTCCATTATCTCACAAGAAGGCACCAAGATATAAAATGTATCTAGCTCGGTGACATCCCATCACCCCTGCTACCTGCAGTTAAATGCAGCCCTGCAACAAGTAATGAAATCCATCTAGCCATGACCTATTGCAGGATAATCTGCAATAAAAATCTTTGCAGCTATTATTACTGTATTTGTTTTATTATTTACAAGCATACTGTAGAGTCAGATACGGTGTTTTCTCCTGTTTACTGTTTAGGGCCCCAATCCTGCAATGGGCTTTCTGTGAGCCTGGATCTTTACCCCTATGGGGTTTCCCACTGGAGTGCTGCAGAAATCAGTGGGGGGAAATAACTTGGGTTCAGTTTGTCACGGAGTATGTGGGGCCTTGTGTATAAGCCCTGATCTTGTTTGCCCTTGAAGTCATTGGCAAAAATCCCATTAACTTCAATAGGAACATGAACAGATGCTATGGCCCTAATCCTGCAATTAGATCCTTGTGAGCAGACATGTCTCAATGTGCAGCCCCCTTCATTTCAGTTGGGCTTTATGTGAATGAAGGAGTCCATCCCCACAGATCTAATTGCAGGATTGGGTCACAGTTTCTGTGAAAGTAAATTTAGCTGAAGTAAGACTCTCTGACCACCATTCTCCTGGAACCTTGCTGGAAATGGGATATTTATCTCATGGGGCTGCCGGAGCGTAGAACTCTGCCAATAGGAATTTATTGTTATATTTGGGAGGATTTAAATGTATAGCTACCAAGCCTCAAAATTAAGGTAATACAGACAACTTTAAAACCACCCTTCTATATGTGAATTCTTTACCCTGGTTGTTATCAACAGCACTTAAGATGACTACCGCTGAAAGAGAATACAGGAGAAAAAAACATTTTTCACTGCCTTTTTTCCATTGATTGACTTTGTGGCATTTGACAGCACTTTGCATGTAGCCTTTCCCCCCTGTCATTTGTTTGGGTCTTTCACACACCAGTGGGAAAGCCAACCAATTTTTAAATATAGGAAAGTGTGGTTGCAAAGCCCTGGAAATTGGCAACATGTTTTAGAGATAAGTGTAACCTCTGAAACAATTGTTAACTCTTTTAAAAAATGATCTTGTGTTGACTGTCTCTTTAAGTGTTAAGGGGAGCAGCTAGTGATGCAAAAACTATGTAAATGAAAGAGAGAGAAGAGAGAGAGATCAGAAGAACTGGTGGAGTGTTTCTGGCAAGTGATGCCCAGTTTGGTAAGTGGATGATACTAGTATTCAGTATATTTCAGTGCTGGGTTAGGTCTTTAGTTTTCCTTTTTCAGATCATGTCCTTAAAGGAGGAGTAAAGAAGTAAAATCCCCCCCCCCCCCACTTCTTGTCCAACACTGTAAGCTTGTATGTCACGTTAAGTGTGCCTAATACACTGAGATCCTTTGGGATGGAAAGTGGGATATAAATTTAACTTGTCGATATTTTTACTGGGGTTTGGAATCAGTTTTAAATGTTACATTTTAGGGGCAGGGTGAGCTTAATTATGTTTATGGTGCTGAAAAAATGTCTAATTTATTTTGCATTTCAGATTTGATATATTTTGAGGTTTGTGGGAGTTTGTAGCACCGCATGTTGCATAATGTATGTGTCGGGCATTTAGAATCTAAGGGAAAGTTAGATTTTCAGTTCATGGCTAAAGCTGGGAGTTGGTGCTGATTCTTAAAAAGAAAAGGAGTACTTGTGGCACCTTAGAGACTAACAAATTTATTTGAGCATAAGCTTTCGTGAGCTACAGCTCACTTCATTGGATGCTGTAGCTCACGAAAGCTTATGCTCAAATAAATTTGTTAGTCTCTAAGGTGCCACAAGTCCTCCTTTTCTTTTTGCGAATACAGACTAACACGGCTGTTACTCTGAAACCGGTGCTGATTCTGCAGTTCGTTGCTGGGATGTTCCATTAAGGGTAAAAGTGACTTTTTAATTCTTTTTTAATCCTGTTCATTCAAGAAAGACAGACAGATACAGGGCATGAGGAAGTGCTGTTTCATTGATAGCCGTTTTGGAAAGATTGAGTGATGATGAGAGTTTAACGCCTTTCCTGTCCATATCACTGACAAATCACAGTGAAAGCAAGTTAACAGCGTCTGATGGCTGTGTGGTGTCCTGCATGTTATGAGTTTGGTAGGTCTGTCCATTTCTCTGTGGATAAGTGTCTACATGACAAAGACCATCAACAATCTCATCAGAGAGGCCAATGACTGAAAGAGCTAAGGAAGCCATAGCCCTTTTCTCTAGAGGAGCACCTCCGAGTTCTGGGTTGAAGTATGATGTATTGGCAAGAGTGGAAGATCAGATACTACTAAAGTGCTTAGGTAGATCAATGAGCACAATGTAAAGACCAAAAGAGGGCGGGAGGGATGGGCGGATAGGTACCTTCCCAAATAGCTTAAAGGGTTGCTAAAGGATGGTTGTGTAGCTAACGCACAGGACTGAAAGTCAGAATTCCTGAGTTCTGATGCCAGCTCTGACCTTCCTCTCTCCGTGCATCAGGGGGCTCCGAGGCCATATTCATTAATGTTTAGAAGTTGCTATGTAGGGTAGTGTACTACAGGCCTGATTCTGATCTGTCTCCACATTTGCCAGGGTGCGACTCCAGTGACTTTAGAGGAATTCCTTCCTATTTACACTGGATTATGCAAGCTCAGAATCAGGCCCCGTGTAACCCCAAAAATGTAACATAATTGCAGTCAGCTATTTTATGTGTCTAGCCACGGCTGGCTGCAAGCCAAATACCACCTACCTAGAAATAAGCTTGAGGATTTCAAAAGGCTAGGATAAAGGGCTGCATGTTCTGTAGTTTGAGTTTTGCTAATCAGAATAGAAGGAACGTTTAGACAGGTTACCTTGGTTTTAAGTGCCCCTAACATACACTTTTTATTGTTGTTATCACTCGAAATGCTTTAATGATTAAAAAAAAGTCATTTGTTAAAATTAAAAAGATGAGTAACTCAGTAGGGGTTACTCTAGTAACCCACTAAAAGATACGTGCTTTGTTTAAGATAGCTATAAAAAATTAATTAAAAGTAAATACCTCAGAGCAGACCGAGGGAGCTTTTTTTCGGGCAAGAAGCTGACACCCCAAACTCCGCAGCGGGAAGGCAACTGGCCATCAACGACCTGCTGTCACTTCCTCTAAACCATGTCAGACTTTGGAAATTATGTCTTGGAATGCTCTAAATCTGTTGCTATAACATATATGTGTGTGTGCTTAAGGCTTAATAAAAAGTCGTTTTAAGTAACAGCATCCTGATTTGTATCAATCATGTATTAGACAGAAAAACGATGTCCCCATTGATTTATTCCTGACCCTGTCTGGAAAAAAAACAGCTAAATAACAACTGCTTTGTGTTCTGAAACCCTGAATAACAGATTGGCAAGCTAGTTGCCAGGAGTTGTGGCGAGGAAGGGTATGATTGATATAAACAGTTTGTATGTTTATTTGCATATGCAAGGCACTATCATTAGATTGGCCAGTTTGTAGAATGCATCTGATTTGTCAAAGATTTCTTTGTCCATAGTCCTCTAATTCCAGTGCAACTGCGTCAAACACCATATTCCAGAGCAGAGTCAACTCCTTTGAGGAGAACCTTCTAGGAGGGATTGCCATGTAACAGCAGAGCAGATTACAAATTCCGGCCAGTTACGAAAGGTAGCATCTAAACAGGTGAGTCTTAAGGCTTGAATTTCAAATAACTGTGGGATCTAATATGGGGAAGAAGATCCAGGGTCCAGGAGTGGAAGCTGATCAAAAGATCAAGCCCAGTATGGCAAGGCACTCTCAGCAATGCCTCCAAGCCAGAGTGAAGGGGACAGCTGGAATATAGGAGGGCAAAGGAGGTTGGTTTGGGAGGATCTCATATAGACACTGCTTCTGATCTCGCGTCTACATGTATAATTCCATTAACTTCAGTGGAGTTGCTCCTGGTTTACACCAGTGCAAGAGAAGAGAATCAGGCCCTGATGAGCAGCCAGTGCCTGTTCAGATAATGCCGTCAGATCTGGAGGTGCAGGAAGGTCTGTGCAAGTGACACCCCCCCGATCCCACTTGGGACAAGCTAAAATGCTACGGGGATGTTCGTTGCTCAAGTTGCCTGGGACTGACTGAGAACTCCAAGGTGGCAATTGCTGGGCACGCCGAACACTTCCCTCTTTCATCTTGGCTTTCACCAGGACACATCACAGACTGCCCCCTTCCCCCATGCCTCCAGCTACTATAATTGGACCACCCCCCTCCAGCTGCCGTTGCCCTGGAGTTTGGGGCAGGGAGGAAAGTTGCCCGCTCTGAGCCGTCTGTAAATCAGCTCTGCTCTGTTGATTTTCAGGGCCGATTTACACTAGCTGGGGCTCTGGCACTGATTCTGGAGCCTGGAGTTCGGGGACCCAATCAAATGGTTCTAGTGGGGGAGGCTTCGGCCTGCCCTGGGAGCAGCCATTGCACTATACCTCTGCTTCCTTTCCTGTTAGCTTTTAACCACAACAGGACTTTGCTTCTTGCTTTGTTATTTATTGTCCTGCATCCGGTTACAAGGGGCCTTATCAAAAATGTATCAAAGGTCCCAGGGGAACAAGAGAGGCACAGAGTGTTAGCCGGATTTATCCAGTCTGTAAATGAATTAGACCGTGGAAAGCCAAGCGGCTTGCACTACGTCCAAGGGGAGACTCAGCCTTGCAGTGTTGGGATCAGGGTCCTACAGGGCAGCTTGAATTTACACCACGGGAATTCGGGTGGAAGCTGCTCCTTCGATCAGCTGGGCCCTACCTCAACCATCAACTGCAGCTATTTTGCTACCGGGCCTCCCCAACCTATTATTAGCTGCCAGGGGGGACTTCTCTTGCCAGTTCACACACTTGCCATTACGCTGTTCACACAGGCCAGCTTGTTACACACGGGGCAGAGGTTGACAGCGCTTGGGACACTGCACTCACCCTTGAGGCTCTCTTCGTTCATTCCCCCAAGGCTTCGGGGAGGATGATCCCACCTGGGAAAACGCTTTGTGCTGCTGGGATTATAGCCGGGCTCCTGGCTTTCTTTTGGAGAGACACCTTTAACCCAGGTAGGCAGAGAGAGGAAACAGCCAGAGCTTGGAAAGAGGCTGGAACAAATTGTATAGTGTGTGTGTGTGTGTGGAGGGGGTGTGTGTGGTTTGAGAGCCATTGAACCAAACTCTAACGCTTGTCTGTGATGGAAACCGCTTCCCGCAGCACCCCCAATTCCAGCACCTATGGAGGGTGAATGGAGGAGGGGGAGTGTTCCCAAACTGTGGTCTGTGGAATGCTTGCCTGTGGTCTAGAGAGACCACAGGTAGCTGCCTCTCCTTGTTTCCACCTGCAGAGAAGATCTGGGAATGAGCGACCGGGGCTGGATTGCTTCATGATTCCCTGTTCTGTTCATTCCCTCTGGGGCACCTGGCGTTGGCTACTGTCCGAAGACAGGATACTGGGCTAGATGGACCTTTGGGCTGACCCAGTATGGCCATTCTTATGTCTGTGAAAGCAGCTGGGATCAAGAAAGAACCAACCTAGATGCATTTATTAGGGGCCATTCCTATATGCAAGGTAGAGGACAGGCAGTGTGGTCTAGTGGATAGTACACTGAACTGTGACTCAGGAAACCTGAGTTCTGTTCCCATCTCTGCCACTGACCAGCGGTGTGACCTGGGGTATGTCACTTTCCTTGTCTAGCTCCATTCCCTCACTCCCATTTTTTGTCTGTTTAGATCATAATCTCTCCCAGTGCCTCATTTTTCCACCTGTAAATGGGCAAGCCCCTTCGTTTTCAGTGTGAATCCGTTCTTACTGAAAAAATCCCGGGTTTTACAAAAAGTAGTATTCCTTTTTTTCTGATTTTCACCCTACTTTTGTATCATTCAGATATATAAAAATAACTGGTTTTATTAGGGAAATGCAGTACATTGCATGAGATCTATGTATTACGATAATACATTAGTCTGTGTGTATACTCAAAGCTGCCTGTTGAAATAAGGCTCTGTATTAGTCTAGAAGATACACACAATAAACAAACAGGCCCGCACGCAAGCTCTGCAGTGCGTGCGCATCTGAATGTACTGATGAATGTCACGCCTGCCACATATACTTTTCAAGCTGTTAGCAGATAACGGTTTAAAGATTTGACACACTACCATGGGAAGAAAGTGAAAATCTGTAACAGAATACGTTTCAGAACACAAGGAAGTATTCAAAAGTTTAAAAAAAAACAAAACCGGGAAAAGGACGAAGTTGAGTGTTTGTGCGGCAAAAGATGTATCCCAATTATTAAATGTAAACGGGGCCGGCTCTAGGGTTTTTCCTGCCCCAAGCAAAGAGAGCACAACTGTCCAAGCGAAAGAAAAGGGGTGGCCAGAAAGCCGCCCCTGGAATTGTGCCGCCCGAAGCATGTGCTTGCTTTGCTGGTGCCTAGAGCCGGTCCTGAATGTAAATATTTATAGGCTAGCAGTTCTAAGTCTACAACAGTAAACTCATCGTTCTAATGAACAGTTTGATTTGGGGATTAGCGATCTATTGTTTTTGAAAACTCAAAGATGTGTTTTGAGTTCTGTGTTAATTCTGCAGCAAACCACGTTGAATTCCATTCATCAAAGCATTAATCTACTGACTGTTTTTCCCCTGTCTTTCCGTCCACCGAAATAAACCCGGATATTCACCCAGAAAAGATTATTACTAGTTTTTTCCGCCAGTTTTCACCCGTTTTTGTTGTTGTAGAAATAAACACCAACCAATTCCCGGGAAAATAAAAACCGAAAACAAAGGGCCCTAAAAATAGGTAATAACAGGGCTTCCTGTTTATTTAGACTGTGAGCTCTTTGGGGCAGGGACTGTCCTCACTACATGAATGTACAGTGCCTAGCGCAGACGAGCTCTGATCTCAGTTGCTGTTGTACAAATAATAAGGAAAGAGGTACTACAGTAGGAGCAGCAGTGCCAGCAGGAGTGACCCGCTCCCATCAGGGCTAGGGGAACGTAGAGCAGATATGCAAGACAGCTGCAAATGTTCAGTAAGTGGTCACAGACCAACTGGTGACATTTCTGCACAGAGTGGGGTAGGGTAGCTGGTGGCACAGCCATCTCTATTAAATGCTCCTTAGACCCTATGATGAGGATGTCCAGGTGAATAAAGACCGCTTTAATATAAGTCTTACTGGGGCAGATGGGGCTCTTCAGATGTGTTAGGCGGCTCACCGAAGAGAAGGGAAACTTTGATTTCAAACCCAAGACATCAGGCATGGACAGCCAGCATGTAAAAGCCTGTCAATAGACATGCTCATGGGAACTGATAGCCACGTTAAGTGTACCCCAGAGAGCTAGGGCGTTCCCTGCAAGCAGCACACTACAGCCTTCCTTGCGTGTTGTAACAGGGCAAGGAGCAAGTGAGTAAGCTGAAATCTGCACGTTGGAAAGTAGGAACACTGACTGGGAGAAGTTTGGAGCTATGTGTGGTCTTAAAGGGGAGAAGAAGAAATGTGATGTGTACAAGAGACCAACTGGAAGGGTTGTAAAGCCAAGATGCTGGCGGAGGGTTACCAAATCCTCAGGGAGTTCAACATCCTAAAACAGTATTGGAGTTGTTCTGGATGAAACCATGCAGAAGCATGTGATAGAGGTTACCAGAAAGTCAGACTGACTGATAAGGGTCAGACTGTTCAGGGAAGAGGTAACGAGCCATATAATACGGGGGTATTTACTGAAGTTAGGAGTGGATCAAAGAGTAAAAGAGGAATTTTTCGATGAGTTGTTGTTGTCCTTTATTGGAAACATACCATCCAACAAGAAGATAATTATCAGAGCAGATCTAAATGCACATGTTGGAACTGGAAAGACTGGATATGAAAATCCATGGAGGGCACAGAACTGGAACCAGAAACTCCAAGAGGACACGATCCTACAGACTTGTCTTGCGCTGGGCTTGGTGATCGTAAACACACGCTTTCAGAAGAGGGAAAGCCACCTTGTAACTTATGCCAGTGAAGGATACAAGTCCCAAATTGATTTCCTTGTAATGAGAAGAAGGAACAGATCATGAATAATCGATTGGAAGGTAATACCCAGCAAGCGCATTGTGAGACAGCACAGACTTCCCTTTATGGACTTCAGAATGCGGAAATATCTGAATGCCTGGGCTCCAAAAAGGCCTAAGTGGTGGAAACTTAAAGATGGATGTGAAAAAACCTTCAAACAAGGAGAAAGGCGTAGTCTTACTGACTGGTTCAAACTAACATCAGCTCTGCTGGAAACGGCACATGAAGTCCTAGGAGTGACGAAACCATGGCAGATAGGATAAGAAGAGAGACTTGGTGGTGCAATCCTCAAGTTCAATAATCCATTGAGGAAAAAAATAAGAGCACCTTCAAAAAAGGGCAGGCCAATAGCTTGAGCAGTGATAAGATGGCATCTTTTGAGGCAAAAAAGGAGGCTAAAAAGTGTTGCAGCAGCTTAAAGTATGGTCTGTGACGAGCTATATAACTGACAAGGAGGACATGAGGGAGGGAAGACCATCTGTAGACTCACCAAGGAAAGAGAGAAGATGATGAGGGATGTGAACAAGTTTGCTTACATTAGAAATTAATGTGGCATATTGCTAATGAATGGGGAATCAACCAACAAAGTTTGGAGTGATTATTTTTCAAGAGTGATGAATGAGAAATTAAGGACACGTAAGCTGAACTGGGATGTGATAAATTACATAGAATCATAGAGTTGTAGGACTGGAAGGGACCTCGAGAGGTCTTCCAGTCCAGTCCCCTGCACTCAAGGCAGGACTAGAAGGCATAAACGAAGAGAAGTTGAAGAGGCGCTTAGGAAAATGAAAAAGGAGAAAGCATCTGGCCCAAATGAAGTATCAGTGGATGCGGTGAAGTCCTTGAGGAGGGAAGGCATCAAGTATTTTACAAGTTTGTTCCATGGTATTCTTAAGAAAGAGAAAATGCCAGATGAGTGGCATAAAAGCTTTGTCGTGCCTACTTTTAAACACAAAGGAGCTCTTCCACGGTGTGTTAATGATCTTCCAATTAAGCTGATGTCACAAGCTATGGAAGTAGTGCGAGAGAAGATTACTGAAAAGTGTCTGCGTGGGATGGTTGATATCTGGAATGGTCTCTTGCCATACTTCCTATCTTTCCTACGCAGTGGGATAGTTTCCAATCTTGAGCGCTCCCTGCATCAGTAATTGTAATTCCTTTCATTCTTCTTTCACTAACACTTTTTTCTTGTGCTCTCTCCCTCTCCCCACCCCCCAAGACAGCATCTCTGGTGCCCGAGTTCTCCTGACCGGAGCCAGCACTGGGATTGGAGAGCAGATGGCATATCACTACTCCAGGTTTGGTGCAGAAATAGTTCTGACTGCCAGGAGGGGAACACTGCTGCAGAAAGTAAGAGCCTCCTCACACAGGAGAAGGCAGAATGGGGGGGAAGATGTGGCCGTTAAAAATATTAGGATGTAGAGCTGGTCAGAAATTTTCCACCAAAACTGTCTTTTGACAGAAAACGGTGGGAGAGGGAGGGTTGACTAAATGATTTTTTACATGAAATGTGTCTGCTTTCTGTAGAAAAATGTTGATTTTCTGTCTTTGCTGAAAAACACTCCCAAATCAAAATCGTTCAATTGTGAAATGCTGCTGCAGTGCTTTTTGGGAGCTGTAGTTTGGGTGCCTTGTGCTCCCATTCTTGTCAATGGGCCAAAATCTCCAGCCGGACTTCATCTCCCACGATGCAGTGCCACCATATGACTGCCATGATGCACCACCTCCCCCCTCACCAAAGCGGTGAGGTGCATCATTGGAGATGTAGTCCAAGAGGGAACCCAACCTGTCGAGGAGACATGGGAGTACGTGACTCGGGACTACAACTCCCATGAGGCACTGGAGCAGCATTTCGGAATTGAAATATTTCCATTCTCAAGCAAAATATTTCACTGAAAACTCAAAATTTTCTTTGAGGAGATAAAAAAAACATTTTCCAACCAGCTCAAATAAGTTGGAAATACAAACTCATCCATCCCTAGAGTACAGAAATCATGTGAGAACAGGCCCAGTGTAAGGTTCTGAGCTGAAGGGAAGGGATGGGACTCTGGGAAGGGGAATGTAAGGACATTGCACTAGGACTGGGCTCACCTAAGCCTGTTTCAATGTCTTGTTTGGGCTTCGTTCACATTTGGACATATCGCACAGCTCTGGGAGTGCAAAGGGGCCTTGTAATATGAGTACTCCAGGCCCCTTTGCAATGTCATAGCCTTAGGCTTGTCTGCATTTGCAAGTTATTTCAGATTAAGGTAGGTCATGAATTTAAAGCACAATTCTGGAATCAGAGGAACAGCCGTGTTAGTCTGTATTCGCAAAAAGAAAAGGAGTACTTGTGGCACCTTAGAGACTAACCAATTTATTTGAGCATGAGCTTTCGTGAGCTACAGCTCACTTCATCAGATGTTTACCGTGGAAACTGCAGCAGACTTTATATACACACAGAGAATATGAAACAATACCTCCTCCCACCCCACTGTCCTGCTGGTAATAGCTTATCTAAAGTGATCAACAGGTGGGCCATTTCCAGCACAAATCCAGGTTTTCTCACCCTCCACCCCCCACACAAATTCACTCTCCTGCTGGTGCTAGCCCATCCAAAGTGACAACTCTTTGCATAATCAAGTCGGGCTATTTCCTGCATAGATCAAGGTTTTCTCACATCCCCCCCACCCCCATACACACACAAACTCACTCTCCTGCTGGTAATAGCTCATCTAAACTGACCACTCTCCAAGTTTAAATCCAAGTTAAACCAGAACATCTGGGGGGGGGGGGTAGGAAAAAACAAGAGGAAACAGGCTACCTTGCATAATGACTTAGCCACTCCCAGTCTCTATTTAAGCCTAAATTAATAGTATCCAATTTGCAAATGAATTCCAATTCAGCAGTTTCTCGTTGGAGTCTGGATTTGAAGTTTTTTTGTTTTAAGATAGCGACCTTCATGTCTGTGATTGCGTGACCAGAGAGATTGAAGTGTTCTCCGACTGGTTTATGAATGTTATAATTCTTGACATCTGATTTGTGTCCATTTATTCTTTTACGTAGAGACTGTCCAGTTTGACCAATGTACATGGCAGAGGGGCATTGCTGGCACATGATTGCATATATCACATTGGTGGATGTGCAGGTGAACGAGCCTCTGATAGTGTGGCTGATGTTATTAGGCCCTGTGATGGTGTCCCCTGAATAGATATGTGGGCACAATTGGCAACGGGCTTTGTTGCAAGGATAAGTTCCTGGGTTAGTGGTTCTGTTGTGTGGTATGTGGTTGTTGGTGAGTATTTGCTTCAGGTTGCGGGGCTGTCTGTAGGCAAGGACTGGCCTGTCTCCCAAGACTTGTGAGAGTGTTGGGTCATCCTTTAGGATAGGTTGTAGATCCTTAATAATGCGTTGGAGGGGTTTTAGTTGGGGGCTGAAGGTGACCGCTAGTGGCGTTCTGTTATTTTCTTTGTTAGGCCTGTCCTGTAGTAGGTAACTTCTGGGAACTCTTCTGGCTCTATCAATCTGTTTCTTTACTTCTGCAGGTGGGTATTGTAGTTGTAAGAAAGCTTGACAGAGATCTTGTAGGTGTTTGTCTCTGTCTGAGGGGTTGGAGCAAATGCGGTTGTATCGCAGAGCTTGGCTGTAGACGATGGATCGTGTGGTGTGGTCAGGGTGAAAGCTGGAGGCATGCAGGTAGGAATAGCGGTCAGTAGGTTTCCGGTATAGGGTGGTGTTTATGTGGCCATTGTTTATTAGCACTGTAGTGTCCAGGAAGTGGATCTCTTGTGTGGACTGGACCAGGCTGAGGTTGGTGGTGGGATGGAAATTGTTGAAGTCGTGGTGGAATTCCTCAAGGGCTTCTTTTCCATGGGTCCAGATGATGAAGATGTCATCAATATAGCGCAAGTAGAGTAGGGGCTTTAGGGGACGAGAGCTGAGGAAGCGTTGTTCTAAATCAGCCATAAAAATGTTGGCATACTGTGGGGCCATGCGGGTACCCATAGCAGTGCCGCTGATCTGAAGGTATACATTGTCCCCAAATGTGAAATAGTTATGGGTAAGGACAAAGTCACAAAGTTCAGCCACCAGGTTAGCCGTGACATTATCGGGGGATAGTGTTCTTGACGGCTTGTAGTCCATCTTTGTGTGGAATGTTGGTGTAGAGGGCTTCTACATCCATAGTAGCCAGGATGGTGTTATCAGGAAGATCACCGATGGATTGAAGTTTCCTCAGGAAGTCAGTGGTGTCTCAAAGGTAGCTGGGAGTGCTGGTAGCGTAGGGCCTGAGGAGGGAGTCTACATAGCCAGACAATCCTGCTGTCAGGGTGCCAATGCCTGAGATGATGGGGCGCCCAGGATTTCCAGGTTTATGGATCTTGGGTAGTAGATAGAATATCCCAGGTCGGGGTTCCAGGGGTGTGTCTGTGCGGATTTGATCTTGTGCTTTTTCAGGAAGTTTCTTGAGCAAATGCTGTAGTTGCTTTTGGTAACTCTCAGTGGGATCATAGGGTAATGGCTTGTAGAAACTCGTGTTGGAGAGCTGCCGAGCAGCCTCTTGTTCATATTCCGACCTATTCATGATGACAACAGCACCTCCTTTGTCAGCCTTTTTGATTATGATGTCAGAGTTGTTTCTGAGGCTGTGGATGGCATTGCGTTCCGCATGGCTGAGGTTATGGGGCAAGTGATGCTGCTTTTCCACAATTTCAGCCCGTGCACGTCGGCGGAAGCACTCTATGTAGAAGTCCAGTCTGCTGTTTCGACCTTCAGGAGGAGTCCATCTAGAATCAGTGGTCAGTTTAGATGAGCTATTACCAGCAGGAGAGTGAGTTTGTGTGTGTATGGGGGTGGGGGGGATGTGAGAAAACCTTGATCTATGCAGGAAATAGCCCGACTTGATTATGCAAAGAGTTGTCACTTTGGATGGGCTAGCACCAGCAGGAGAGTGAATTTGTGTGGGGGGTGGAGGGTGAGAAAACCTGGATTTGTGCTGGAAATGGCCCACCTGTTGATCACTTTAGATAAGCTATTACCAGCAGGACAGTGGGGTGGGAGGAGGTATTGTTTCATATTCTCTGTGTGTATATAAAGTCTGCTGCAGTTTCCACGGTAAACATCTGATGAAGTGAGCTGTAGCTCACGAAAGCTCATGCTCAAATAAATTGGTTAGTCTCTAAGGTGCCACAAGTACTCCTTTTCTTTTTGCGAATTCTGGAATCGTTTTTCATGTGGACACTGTTATTCTGGGTTAAGGTCGGGTGTTATTTTAAAGTGTTATAATTATTCCTGGGTTAATGTCCTCATGTAGATAAGTCCTTTAAGGTAAATGAGAATCACTCCCTTTTGGGTTGGATGGAAGTAAATGTGGGTGTAAAGTGTGTGACTTTGTTCATAGTTGGCTCTTCTTGACCATGGCATGAAAGCAGTGAGAGGAATGAAGTAGCAGCCCCTCGTCTCTCCCCACCAAAGAAAAGTAGACTTAGATCCGTCTGTTGTTGTTATTCCCCTAGGTGATGGAGAAATGTCTGCAGCTGGGAGCAAAGCGAGTCTTTTACATCCAGGCCGATATGTCTTCCCCTCAAGCCCCGGAAAAGGTGGTGCAGTTTGCTTTGCAAAAATTGGGTGTGTATTGGGCTGTCTGAAGAAAAGCGACTGATGCTGGGGGGGGATCCCAGGTGTCCATGTGAAAGTCAGCCTGAGACTATAACAATTCCAGATCCCCCGGGGCTGGAGGAGAATATGGTTGCAGCTGTCTCATTTTGAATGGCCTGGTGGGAAAGGTTCCCTAATAATACTGAATTCCTGGGTCTGATTCTCATTCACACCAAGGCTCCTTTGCACCTCTCCGCTCACGTGAAGCGCCCTCGAAGTGGGTGTACGTTCATATCCATTGCACCCTGCCAGAGCAGCGTTAAGGGGCCTTGCCTCAAACGAAAGTCAAGCCCTCTGTCTTTCAGGGGCGTTAGCTGATTAACCCTCATGACGCCTCTCTGAGGAAGGGATGGAGGGAGGGCAGTATTGTTCTCATTTGACGGGGAAAACTGAGGCACGGCACAGTTCAGGTCACTGCTTCAAATTCAGACCTAGTTACTATGATGGCTGGTACTATATAAATACCAGCAAGATTAGATCAGACAGATCTGGCCTAGCTGGAGACTGTTGTTCCCATGTAGGCTGTAATGAGCTCTCAGTCCAGTTCTTAATGGACACGTGTCCTACATCGCAGATAGCACCATCCCAGCTGGTCTCAGGTGCTCCTTCTCATTGGTAGCCTCCACCAGGAGGCCAAGGACTCTGTGGGCTGTGGAGGTTGAACCTTTGGGAGTGGGCTCCTCTGGATCGAGGTGGAATCCAATAGGTGGGACAATGCGGGCAGACTTTCCCTGGGCCAGGGGGAAGCCGGGCTGCAGAAGGCAGGAGCAGGCTTCAGCAGAGGTCTTTGTCCTCCAGGGATGCCAAGGCTGGAAAAGAAGGATGGCCCAGTGATTAGGGTTTTAGCTGAGGACTTTGGCTTCAATTCCCTGCTCTGCCGCAGCTTTCCTAGGTCACCTTGGGCAACTCACTTCATCTCTCTGTGGCTCAGTTCCCCATAATACCCTGCCCTGCTTCACAGGGAGTTGTGAGGGTAACTACATTAGAAAGATTTCAGGGTGCTCAGACTCTGCTGTTATGGGGGTCATGTAAGTACCTTAGATAGGCCCTCATGTGATTCTGTCTCTCTCTGGATCATGCCTGGCCCAGTTTCTCTCAGGCTGCGTCACACCCAGCACTGGTAACCCAATTAAGGGCAGTCAGAACTGGGAGCCACAGTCCTGGGAAGGTCTCTATTCACCCAGCTCCCTCTGTACATCCTGCCTCGATCCTGGTAACGCAGCAGGAAATTCAGAGATGCGTGGGAAAGCTGAGCTGCAAGATTCCCCAGGTCACAAGCTGCCAAACAGGGCTTCCCTTGCTGTGCAACTCCCTTGAAGGGTTTCCTTTCATTTACTACAAGCATGGTGGGTGGCTTTTCCTTTCCTGCGCTGGCTCTGCTGTTGATCGGTTTAAGCCGTGTTGCCTTGGTTGGAGCCAGGCGAGTGGGAGTCAGGACTCCTGGGTTCCGCTCCTGGCTCCAAGGGTGACCTGGGTTCATTCTCTTTTGGCCTGACGTGTCTTTATGTAGCCCCCATCGCTGTTGTGGCTGAGTGCCTCAGTGTCCCCACCTCAGCCAGTGATGGATGGATGTGTGAGGAGGGTACCTTGTGTGTCTATTCCAGCCTGGTAGTGGTTGAAGTCTTAGCAGTGCTCTTGATTGATAGGGGGGTGCAAACTGGGTCGAGCCAACTCCAGCTGCCTAGCGCCCAAGGGGCAGCTGTCTTTGCTGTGTGTGTGTCCCAGGGGATACTCAACAATGCCTGCAGCTACCCTCTTCTTTTGAAATGGAGATGCAGCTTGCAGGGACTACACTTCCCACCAGGCAATGCTTCACCTGGAGCCAAGTGGCACTGCAAAGAGACACCCATTGCCATCTCTTTAGGTGCTGCCTGGGGGGTCCCGAGGAGTTGCCTTGACTGGGCACACCCTGGGCTCCCGCTGGTGGATTCTTCCCAGCAGCCCAAAGGAAAGAGCTAGCTGGTTTTCTTCCTCCTTTATGCTGCATCTGTTGACCCATGGATGGCCCCGTACCTGACCCCCAGCCTGTTCTGCTGCTTGTAGGGGGACTGGATCACCTGGTGCTGAACCACATTGGCGGGACCCCTTTCCGGATGTGGGACGGAGACGTGGAACACACCCGCTGGCTCATGCAGGTGGGTTTCTGCAGCAGAGAGAGAGAAAGACGCGGGGCAAATGCAGACTGCGGGCAACGCCACTGAAGTTGACTCTAAACAAGGGTGAAATGAAAAGGTCCGTAATGCTTTGCTGCTGATTGAGAAGCCCGCCGAGATGTGAGGGAGGTGGATGTAGGTAGCTGATCTAGTTAGGTCATTGCCATTCAGCCTCCTGTTTATCCAGCTCTCTGTCTGTCTGATTTCTAGGGCACCAATCAGTGTAGTAGCTAGTGAGGGTGTGTAACTTGGCAGTGGCTTCTAGGACGCAACTTACAGATGCAGGGTTTTCTGTTGAATCACTCCAGTGAGTAGCCAGCTACTGTTCTATAGATATATGGGCCTATGCCATGGTAACGGACTGATGTATATGCTAATAAGCTTGAATTAAAAGGCCTAGTAGGAAAAGGGCACCCCAACATTAGTAGGGTGAGGAAATACCGATAAGGAAAAGGGGCTCAAACACCTACTGAATGTGCATTAGGCATTAGCGTAACCTCTGATTAAAAGGTGGCACTCAGCCCATGCACTCCAGGGAGATTTTCTGGAACGTGCCAGGCCAAGCACCACTCGTGGGTCATTTTACCTACTACAGGGTTCCCTGCAAAGGATGGTGTGAGTATGCAAGTTCTGGCTGCTTGTATTATCTAGATCTACTTTGCTATGTTGTAGAGTTTGTGATAGTGCTGATGGTGCTAATAAAACTATTGCAAATTCAAAAGGTCTTCCCTAAGTCTGAGTGTCTCTCTCACATACGCCAGGGCCCTCGCTCTGAAATTCATTGTAATACTGTGACGGATCTAGAGGCAAGCAAACACTGCCAAACCATGGAATGTTAAATTGGGAAATCTAAATAATGCCTAACCAATAGATCAGGCAACTGATGTCAGGTTTTAGGACCCTCAGATGCTGAGCTGTTTTACTGACTCATCTGAGAGGCCAGATCAGGTGAGTCCTACTAGCTCCATTCCAGGTTATGAAAGGGCTTGAGCCTCTTCTCAGAAGAAGAAGTAGGGGTCAGGGGTGGAGGGAAAAAAACAGTCAAGCTCAGGAGAAAACTTAGTCTGATGTTTATTCTTTGTTAATTAAGTTCACAATAAAGGTAAACCCAGGAAGGCGGTAACTTTGGCCCAAAACCAGGGTGTTAGGATCTGGGTGGGGAATGCCACTGTCTAACAGGCTGAAAACCAGAGAACAGCTGGCTGCTTCTTGGAATTCTTGGGTAAATGTGTAGCAATAACCTTAACTCTGGCCCCTCCTCGTTAATCTGAAATCTTAAAGTGCCCCAAAATGTAGTGTTCCCATTATCCTATCAGTCCAGACCCCCAGATAGGTGCAACCTTTCCCTGGATGCTTTATGTAGCAAATCAAGCACCTGGCCCCTTTCATTTCATGACCTCTATCCTGGGTGGGTGACCCAATCCCCAGCCCTCCCACTGAACAGATGTTTCGTTTTGGCCTTGGCTGCCACGTTCCCATTCCTTTCACGTCTCATCTCCTTTCATTCCAGGTGAATTTCCTGAGTTACGTGGCCTTGGCATCTGCAGCTCTTCCCATCCTGGCTGAGAGTAAAGGATCTCTGATTGTGGTTTCTTCCCTCACAGGTCAGTGCTTGAAACCTGCACAGAGCTATGGCTGATAAAGACGGCAGCCCCCCCCCCACCCGCTCATGCAATGCCTCAGCTTGATCCTGCATGAGTTTCTAAGCCCTGCCTGCCGCAATCTTCAGAACTGCAGTGTGAATGGGACTCTGGCCCTTGGCAGGGCGTCTCTGGATCACATCATTTCATGTTCCTATAGGGCTTCCCACCTTCAAAGCACTTCCCAGGGCATATACCCACTGCGGTGGCCAAGTGTATGGGAGGGCAGCATCCAAACCACCACACGAGATATTTTGGCCGAGAGTGTGAACTGATTGCTACAGGCAGGGGGCAGCCCGAACAGCAAGGAATCTTTTCCCCCCACGTGCATGATGATTGTCCTAGTGCATTATGGGATTGGATGTTTCCGTCTTCTGATGCATCCACTGCTGGAATGAGGAAACTAGCTGGAGCAATGGTCTGATGCAATGTAGCAAATCCTCTGTTCCTATGTGCTCCTTCCAGGGGGTTCTCTCCCAGCTGTGCCCTCACCCTCTGTCTTGTTCTGCCAGCCGTTTCACTTGGTTTCCTCTCCTCATGTTTTCCTTTCTAGGAAAAATCTCAACTCCCTTCACAACCTCTTACTCTGCCACCAAGTTTGCTCTGGATGGATTCTTTAGCTCCCTGCGCCACGAGCTCACTATGCAGAAGCAAGACGTATGCATCACACTGTGCATCTTGGGGCTGATCGACACTGAAATGGCTTTGGAGAAGACAAGGTATGTGTGTGTGTGTGCAGAAGAATGTGTGTGCGAGAGTGTGTGCCTGCATGCAGGCGTTCACATGGGTGCAAGAGAACGTATGGTGCGAGAATGCATCGGTGTGTATTCCTGCATGTGCGTACATGAGTGTGAGTGTAGCGTGCCCACGTCTGGGTATGCACTAGTGCGTGCAGGGATGAGAGTGGAAGGGTGTGCATGCATGTGCATCTGGATACGTGCATCTGGGTGCACTTGTGCATGCGTGTGAGTGTGCACGGCCCCGGTTTGCTGGTTTGCATCTTTCACTCCTGAGATGTCAGTTCGCACAGAGCAGGCCAGCGCGGTGACAGGGGGGGGTTGTATGACCGGGTGACTGTTCCCTTCCAGGGGCAAGGTGTACATGAGCGCCTATCCAGCCGCTGAAGCCGCGCTGGCCATCATCAAAGGCGGAGCCACCAGGGCACGGGAGGTGTTCTACCCCTGGTGGCTGGAGCTGCTGTGCTGCCTGCGGGACTGGTTCCCCAACCAAAGGGATGTCGTTATACAGAGCTTCTATAACTACACCAGCGCCTGAGTGATGCAGAACCGCCATTCCCTTCGCCCTGCAAGTACAGGCGCAAGGCCCTAGGCTCCTGCTGAGGTCAAGGTCAGCCATTGGCTTCAGTGCGAGCAGCATTTGGACCTGGAACAAGAAATATCCGGAAATCCTTGGCTAAGGGTCCAGTAGCAACCTTAGCTCTGACCCCTCCTCTGTCCCCATCAACCTTAACTCTGACCCCTCCTCTGTCCCCATCAACTTTAGCTCTGACCCCTCCTTTGTCCCCATGAACCTTAACTCTGACCCCTCCTCCATCCGTATCAATGCCTGACCCTTCCTTCTTCCCCATCAACCTTAACTCTGACCCCTACTCTGTCCCCATCAACCGTAACTCTTTACCTGTTCTGCTCCCTGTCTATGTTCCATGCATGCTCCAAAGACCTCGCACTGTCGTCTGATTCACGCTACCTCAGCGTCTCATGCCCCTTGCCGCATTGACTCCAGCCTCTGCAGCCTCATCCATCCATTCATATGGGCTGGAGTCTCCCCTCTGCCCCAGCCCACGATCTCCCAGGGCTAGGGATAAAGACTTCTCAGATGCAGGATAGAAACCATCCTCCCAGCTGGGAAACCTACCTGTCACCCCCACCTCAATGACACCCCCCCCCAGCTGCTATGGAATCCAGTGGATTTTGTGGGTGCTCCGCCCTTCTGAAAATCAGGCTATTTTAAGACCCGGGCAAAGCTAATTTGAATGAACGAGCGAGGCAGCTTGGCCACCGCAAGGTGGCAGTAGTTCGCAGTGATTAGCAGTGCAGAACCTGAGCTGTGGACAAGATTAGTTCGGTGGCTTTCTCCAGGGCATGGGGCCAAATACCATTCAGTTAAGCTCAGGGAATTCACGTAGTGCTTCTAGTCTGGCAGCGTAACGGTAGCAGTGAACTGGGCCACAGAGGGGTCTCGCACTCAGACTAGTGCTGGGCCTGGTGCTTATAACTCAGGTAACTGACAATGCCCAAGTAACTGTCATACAAGGTTGTTCCCATGTGAGCCGAGTTGTTAGATTCGTTCGTGCGCTGCCTGGAGGGGGAGGGATGGCGAACAGCTGTGGGGTGGTCTTTGAAAGAGATGGGTGAGACGGAGAAAGTAAAAACAGAGCAGAGACGAAATCCTGCCTCAGTGGAATTTTGCTGGCTTCTAGGGGACCAGGGATTTAAGAAGGAAGGGTCTGTTTGAGTGTGGGTAGCTACTTGGGAGTGGAGACAGTAGTCAAATCAGAGAAATGTAGGGCTGGAAGGGACCTCAAGAGGTCACCTCGTCCAGCCCCCAGTGCTGAGGCAGGATTAAATATACCAGTCCCCAAAAGTTTACAGTCTAAACAGACCAGAGGCAGATTATTATAGCCCTGTTGAATTGAGTCCCAGAGAGAGATGGACTGACTCGCCCAAGGTCCTACAGGGACTCTGGCAGAGCTGGGAATCAACCCCCAGGTCCTAGGCCTTTAATCACAAGGCCCCCCTGCTGCCCTACTAACAGAGCTGTTCACAATCAAGATGAAGGCAGAGAAAATAAAGCAGAGTTGGGCAAAAAGCCCCCGAGCGTTGTGTTTCCTGCAGGCGTGCCGAGCCCAGCCGTCCGGCTTCCAGATCCGTCAGAAACGTCCAACCTCAGCCCCACGCCAACAGTCGGCCCCTGCTTGGCTTTCCAAAAGCATCATCGTTTCCGGTCTAGGCTGCAGGCTGTCTTAGCGCTCCCGGGTCCAGAGTGGCTCTATTATTCAATTCCGGATGTTGGGGAACCGTCTTTCCATCCGTGAGCAGTGGGGCTGGTGGAGGCTGAGGGTACGAGCAGGAGCTGTAGACGACTCTTAGGGATCCAGCCCAGAGTTCTGCTTCCTCCCTTGTGCAGCTGGACACAGTGGCATTCCAGCAGCACCTCGCAGGCTGGAGAATGCCCTTTAAGGACGTGTGGAGGGGATTTGGAAGTGGCTCCGGGGGCAGGCCAAGCTGTTTGGGATGGAAAGAATGTCTCTGCCCTTAGTCACTAACCTTTTACACTGGAAACAACAGGGAATGTGCACGGTGGCTCGCCGCCACTGGGCAAACCCACTGCAGTGGGCATTTGTTAAGCAGCCTGTTGTTTGCTTGTGTGTATTTTAGCCCTGTGTGCGGGGAGTCTCTTCAGACACTCTAGGCACCCTGAGCATGACACTGCAATCCTGGGGAGGGAGAGGGTGGGATTGCAGCACACGTAGATGTACTCCCAAGCTAATGTTTATCTAGCGAACATTGGTACCAAGAGCAGGGAAGCCACGGCAGCACAGACTAGCCACCCGCACGCGTACTCAGGGTCTCAGGAGAGCTTGTACAGCCTATGCTGAAGCCCGTGCTGTTGTTATTTGAGCTGGCTGGGTCGGAACTAGCTCGCATATGGCTACCTGAGATTCAGTCACACTCCTGACTGCAGTGTAGACATAGCCTAAATTACAGCAGCCTCTGGGCTGCTCTAACTTACAGTGAGGCTGACAGATCCCTGCACCTGCACTGTCATCTGCATGTATAGCTCCTTTTACCAGGGTGCTTCAGAGCCCTTCACAAAGCTGGGTCAGTACCATTATCTCCAGCCTATGGGTGGGGAAACCAAGGCAGCAGCTGCTCGGCAAGTCAGCCACAGAGTTACAGAAGCAGAAACGGCTCCAGCCCTAAAGGGAGCATGGCCAGGATGGATGGGTCTGGGGGAGTAGACCCCAAAGGTTTGGCTTGTTGCAATACACACGGTTGGGTCCCCAGCCCTGCAGATTTGGGGGTGGAGGCTCCCAATTCACTAGTCCCAGCCACTTCCCTCCGCTGCCACTCTTATCCCTCGCCACACCAATGAAGTGCATTAAAACTGATTGTTTCTATCGGATGTGCCGGACCCGATTCTGCTCCCAGTCATGCTGGTGTACATCCAGATCCACTCCCTTGGCCTCAGTGGATTTACTCTAGCGTAACAGAGATCAGGATCTGGCTCGGGGGTTTTCAGAGATGTCCATTTGCTGGGGAATTTTGTTGCTGACCTGGTTTTGCAGGGGAGCAATGTGACTTTAAACAGCTGCTGTCCTATCCCAGTGCCTAGCTTTCTTGCTTGGTTCCCTGGCGATGGGGAGGGGGAAGAGGGCTCATTTCACACCCCTCCCCCAAATCCTAAATTCTTCCATGAAATTTTCTTGGATGGAACCAGTCATTGCCTGCTGATGCCCCCCCCAGCTCCTGGGTGAAAAGCCAGCTCCCCGCTCTCCCCTGCAACCTGCCTCCAAAGAACAGACTCTAGCATCTTGTGCTCACAAGGAAAGTTTTCACTGGGCCCTGGAAGGAGGCGGTCTGCCTTGGGAGGGGGGAGTAAAGAGAGAAGCAAATTGACAAAGGTTAAGAAGTGACCCATGAACGCTCTCCCAGCAAGGCCCAACAAACTTTTCAAACAAGGGCTGGTTTTTCTGAAGGCAGGAGAAAAGCCTACAAAGTGCCAATTAACAGTGAATCTCTTCCCCCTCTCCCGCCCCACCGCCTCCCCATCACCTCCCTTGCAGGGCCTTGACAGCTCTGGTGTCTGGGTTAATACCAAAGGGCTTTGCAGGGGGAATTAGAATTCTCCTCCCTGTCTCTCTTTGTTTCAGGGGGCGCGTTTCCAGTTCACTGGGCGTTCAAAGGCTAATCGAACGGGACTTTCCCAATGGTGCGGTGGGAGTACAATAAGCCCTGTCGAAATTATACAGTGATCGGGAGCGGGGCTTTTGGGCGGTGGGGGGGCTTGGCGAGCTAGAGGGGGAGGGCACTCTGAAACCAACCCCTCTCTCCCCCCTCGTACCAGTGCCTTCTCCAGATGTCAAAAGCGAATTTCTTGCCAAAGAGGGGAAAGGAGAAAGTGTGAACAGGACAGACAATTCGCAGGGGGTTGGGGGAATGATCCCTTCCCCCGCTCCCAATAGGTTGCATCTGCAACCACTGGGGGGTTCCTGGCAGCATGGGGCTTGGCAGCGCCAGGATCTCCAAGGTTCCAGGTTCGAGGGGGGTTGTCAGAGAGCTGGGTCTGCTGGCCTCCAAAATATTCCAGGAGTTTGTTTAATTCACCAAGCAGGCATCAGCCTTAGGCCTTCCCCTCTCACACCTTGTCGGCGCAGACTTTAGCTTCTCAGAGGGCTACGCTTTGGGAGGAGACACTGGATTTGTTTCCCTACCTCCCCTCCTTCTTTTAAAAGCTACCCTGTAAATGCCCCCTCCGTAAACAAGGCGCCCGCTCCTGCTCCCGTCTAACTCAGTGGGAGTTTTGCCGTTGGCTGCAATGAGAATGGGATCAGGACCCAAAATGTTAGGGTTCAGTCCCTTGCTCAGTGAAGTCTACAGGTGTCTTCAACAAGCACTGGCTTGGTCCTTTGCGTGGGGTGTTCCCCTTGTGGACCACAATCCATTCACAGGTGTCTAGCGTTAGATCTCCCTGGTCACTGGGTGTCAGCGAGGTCAGAATCAGGGCTGAAACTCTGGGCCCATTCAGATCGATGATAAAATTCCCATTGACTTAAGTAGGATCTGGATTTCACCCCGGGGCCTGGCTGGCCATGCAGGCCAATGCAGCTGGCTAGCGCGTGTGTACAAGGCAGCAGTTGGGGTGGCAATAGACCTTTGCTGCATGTGCCATCTTGGGGCAACTTTTCAAATGTGCCAGTTCAGATTTGCCAGCTCGCCCATCTGTACCAGCAAAAACCCGCCCGTGCTGGGCACAGATGAGGGGTGGGGAGACTCAGTGCTCTCACTAATTTTAACCTTTTTCTAACAGGCTCACTTAAAAATGTGTCCCTTAAGATTTGTTGTTGTTCTCAATTGTTTCCTGATGTAGAATTTTTTGCTCCTGGCGTAATCCAGGTAGCTGGTTTCCCTGTGGAAGAGGAACGAGATTTTAGGGCTTGTGCAACCTCCGGTAACTTTCCTATCTGTGTTTTCTTGTGTTGCTTAAATCAAAAATCAAGGTTATTAGATTTGGGGACCCATCCTGCTAAATCACAGCCATGTTTTCCGGTATGATAATCCAGATAGGCTATTCCTGGCCTGTTGCTGGGCCATGTTGAACAGCTGTTGCGTTCCTCCCCATAGGTGGCTGCATTCCAGAGTTGGGAGAGGTGATGGCTGGGGAGTTTTGCCATTGACTTCAATGGGTGCAGGATCTGGGCCACAGTTGGTGAAGTGCTTTGGGATCCTTCGAAATGCAAAGCACCAAGTCAGGCGTGGTCATCTAGAGTGGGAGTTAGCTACCAGTGCAAACCCCTAGGTGCAAGCCCATGGCAATGACACTGAATGGGTCAGGGGGAATAGTTTTATCTGGGGAGTCAGTTGCCAGCTGGAGGTTCTAAATCTAAAGAAGTCACACACTGGATTGGTTTTGTGTCAGTGGCATTTTGGCGTCTTTCAGATGCCTCTGTTTGGGTGGCGGGGATGTCTGTGTGACAAGGACGATATGGGTGTTGAACGGCGTAATGATGAACTGTCATATGGAGCAGAAACATGGCCATAAAAAACAGCCGGGAAGAGGAAATGAAACAGTTTTCCATGTCAAAAGTTACGGCATATTCATAGCATCGGTTGGCTTGATTTTGTCACAAAGGAGGAAACACTTAGACAATCCAGGTGCATTGCAGTCTTGCAGCAGTTGGGAACTAGATGACTGCAGCGAGGGGGCGGGGAGGGGGGGGTCATGTCCCAGCTGCAGAAGAAAGTACGCTTTTACAGAAGGTTTATAATGCAGAGGTCAAAGAGAGCAGAACATGAGGCCCACCTCGAACAACGTTGGAAGATGTAATGTGGAAGGATTTAAGGAACCTAAATCCTCCCATAATGACTCTTGCTGAAGAATGAAGGCTTGCAAGGGGCTGTTCAAAATGGAACTCCATTGCACGCACCGCTCTGGCGACATCCTAGCCATGTGACTCATCTGCCCCTTGCTGCAAACCCCCCTAGTGTAAACACAATTCACACCCGTTGCAGCATGATTTGCATCAGTGCAACTTGGCGGGTGGGGTGTAACCAGCACAGATGCAAATCATGCTCAGTGGGTAGAAATTGTGTCTTTGAGGAGCATGTTGCACCGTGCGTCTAAAATCCCCGTGTGAGTATGTGTCTCTGCACACACAACTGGACTGAGAGGGAGTGAGGGGCCCAGGGTTTAGAGATTATCTTGCTGGTCCTTAACGTGAAGAGGGACACACCAAAGATCCCCCACTGTGGCGTTCCAAACCTTTGGACTGATCAGCCAGATTCCTGCAGCCTCATTTCATAGCCAGGGCTCCCGGTGGCTGCAAACAAAGCACCAGAGGGTGAAACTAGGGGCCCTGCAGCCCAGTTCCTGCCACTCAGCCGACCGACCGGGGTGAGTGAATGATTTATTATTCCTCTCCTGCCATTCACAAGGTGCCTCCCTCTGAAGCTCCCGACGTTTCAATGCACCTGCCACAAAAGGGCGTTTTCTCCACTATAGGGATCAAATGCCGGGGACACAGAGGCATATGAAATGCCTCATTTCCCTCCAGAGCGTGAGGTTCCCCCCCCCCCCATCCTCCCCTCTTA